CACCACCTGCATCCCTAAGTGCTGCCAAATAGGAGACGAGGACACATGGTCTAGTGGCACCCAGATAGTTCCTGGGGCTGACACTGTCTGGATGCAAGTCCCCCTACCCTGGGGACAGGGACAGGCCACCAGACATTCCCTACCCGTTTGCGCTTGGCAGCATCCCGCAGCAGCTGGACAATGTCCTCTCCCACGCAGCCTGAGGCGCTGAAGCCTTTGGTCCAGGTCAGCAGCAATGCCTGCAAGAGTGGCAGATCAGGGGCCAGGGCAGCACACATCCTGAGGTCGTTCCCACCGTCCCAGTGCTGGAGTCACCCCCTCACCTTATCCAGGCCCACTTGCTTGCAGGGGAAGGAGAAGGTGAAGCCGAGAGGCAGCATGTGTGTCATCAGCTTCTGCTTCATCTGGAAGTCTATGATGCAGTCCAGGATGTGGTCAAAGAGCTGTGGATAGTGGCCATTGTCAGCACGGCCCAGGCTGGGGCAATGCTGGGGGGGCCTCTCCCAGCCCCATCATGGCCCCATGGAGAGCAAGTAGGGAGGCAATGCCCATGTCCCCGCCCCAGCCACTGGTCACAGGTCCTCAGCCTCACCTCCTCACCAGTGCCCTGCATGATGGCAGCAGGGATGACGTAGATCTCGCTGGCCATGCTGATGCCCTCCTCTCTTATGCGAACCACCAGCACACGGAAATTGGTCCCCCCCAGGTCCAGTGCCAGGAAGTCGCCTTGCTCTGCAGGGAGCCAGCACAATGCATTAGCAGGGCCACAGCCTGCTCAGCGCCCCATTGCCAGCGTCCCTGTCCCTTACCAGTGCCATCAGGTGTGTGAGACACGTAAGTGGGCAGCATGCGGACAGAGGCAGTGGCATTGGTCTCCTTACACAGGCCGCGGTCCATCTCCTGCCTCATCAGTGCCTGCACTTTCTCCAGGTCATCACGGCTGAGCCGTAGCGGGGCCAGCACCTCGTCCACCGCACGGCGCTGGGCTGCCAGACGCAAAGCCACTGCTGTCACCATGGCCGCCCCTCGCCCAGAGCCATCTCTCGAGGGCACGAGGGTGGCCATGCACTCAGGGGACAGTAGCCTTGACACACTCAGCAGGATCTCCTCAAACCTGCCGAGGATGAAGAGGATAGCATGGGCTAGGTGTGAGGCACCCCACTGGGGTAGCACCCCACTGGGAGCCCTGTGTTCCTCATCACCTGGCGTAGCCCGTGAACAATTCTCCTTCCACCCCCACGTTGACCGTGAGCCTCTCCAATTCCCGGGTCTGGCACATGTAGCTGAGAATTGCAGACAGCCCAGTGGCGTGGAGTGAGGCAGCACGCCCCATTATCGCCCGGCAGATCTGCTGCACCCGGCCACAATCCCGCTCGCTTGGCTGCAGCCCCAGAACCTCCAGAATCCTCTTAACTTCAGTTGTGCCATCCTCACTGCTAGAAGGCAGACCACAGCCTTGCAGCAACCTGCAGGTTCACCAGCCCGCAGCCAGGAACACCCATCCATCACACCCTATCCTCCCACTCATGGCAGCTCCTGGTCCTCAGACACTCACTTGACGATCTCCTGAACATGCTGCATTGTTAACACTCCCTTCTCCTTCAGGACAGCAGCATTGGTCCCAGTGAAGATAGATTTCTCAGCAGTCAGGGCAATCAGTGCGTGCCTGACAATCTCCGCTATGTACAGGGTGCCCACCAACTTCTCAAACCTGCATGGGTTTGAGCCCACATGGGAGTCAGTCATGCCTCCCTAGCAGCACCCCTCGGCTCTTTAAGAGCACCCAGGAGCATTGCAGGGGAATGTGTGCTCCTGTTGGTGGAGCCTGCCATGCTCAGGGATAGATGGGGAGCCTGTCCTTTCTGGGGGAGAAGGAGTACCTCTTCTCCCCAGGGTTGGAAGATTCCTGATCCACAGATTCATCATAGGGTGTGAAGATGTCATTCAGGGTGCCGTCATCCCCAAACCAGCCCCACTCAGTGTTGACACACATCCGCCCGCTGGTCTCCTTTGCTGTTTCCACCAGGTATGCTTCGGCCATGAAGCAACAGTTGGAGCCCTTGTCTGCAGGAGTGATGGGGCTGAGCACCAGCACGGCCCCCCCGACCCACCACCGTGGCACACGCGGTGCCCACGTCTCACCTGCAACAATGGCAACCTCACAGGCTCTCCCCTCTATGCTGCAGGTCATCATGGTGCCCACAGTGTCATTAATCAGGGCAACAACTTCCACACGGTAGGGCTGGCCAGGAGTAGATTGAGAGGATTTCCTGCCCCTCCATGAGGACAGCCAAGCGCCACCGGCCTCCTCCTCCCCTTGCTTATTCTGGTTAATCTGCTTATCAATGGCTGCCTGCAGCAGCTGCACCACGTCCTTCCCCACCACGCCACTGCAGCTGAAGCCCTTGGACCAGAAAAGGAGCTCTGCCTGTGGAGAGCACGCGGCAGAGCCATTGACCTCTGGCACCAGAGGTGTACCACCACCTCTCTCCACTGCTGCTGTGCTGTGGTCACAGCCTGGGACGGGGCTCTCCCCCTCACCTTGTCCAGCTGTGTCTGCCGGCAGCTGAAGGGGAACACAAAGCCCAAGGGGAGGTATAGCTCAGAGCCGTTGGTGTCAGAGCTGTTGGTGTCAGAGCTGATGGTCTCGGCCAGGAACTGGGACACGCATTGCGCAATGAAGTCAAAGAGCTGCAAAGTCATGACTGAGGGTAAGGGCTGCTTGCCTTGCTCAGTACCCAGGCTGTGGAAGGCAGCCTTGAGCTCCAACCCCAGCCCGGAGCCCTGCCGAGCCTCCGTGATGCTGGGCAGCCCAGCACCAGCCACCCTTTGCCATGGCCTCCTCATACCGCTTCCCCCTCGCCCTGCATGATGCCCTCTGGCATGTCAAAGATCTTGTACATCATTTGGGGGCTCATGTTTCCATCTCCGTAGAGGGTCACCAACAGGGTCCGAACCTGGTTCTGGCACAGCTCCACCACCAGAAAGTTGCCCTTCTCTATGGGGGAACAGAGGCAGTGTCAGGCAGAGACGTTCCCTGTGGCAGATCTCCAAAATCTGCTCCTTGCCCTGTCCCAGGGACAGTCACTCACTCATGGGGGAAACTCCTGAGAGCCTGAGACTCTCAGAGGGGCCAAGGGAAGAAGGTTCTGGCTACTGCCCCTGCACTGGGGAGTGGCAGAGGAGAAGCTTATGGACCCCATAACTAATCCAAGAGGGTTTACCCCTCCCAGCACCCCCAGGGTAAACTCCAGTGAGATGTGCAGGGCTGCCAATAGCAGAACAGTTCATCCTCAGGCTGGGCTGCCTCACCAGTGCCATTGGGAGTGGAGCAGATGTAGGTGGGCAGCATCCGCACTTTGGCCTGTGCGTGTGTCTGGCGGCTCAGCCCCTTGCACATGTCCTGCATCATGTGGCCCTTCATAATATGCAGCCTCTCCAGTGGGATGCCGAGTGATCGCAGGGCTCGTTGTATCTGGGGATGATGCATTAGTGCAGAGGGGCAGAGACTAAGGGCAGGGAATGACTGGAGCAGGGATGGGCCTTACCGGTGTGGCTGTGGAGCTATCACGGTGCTGATTCTGAGTGTTTCCTAAGAACCTGCATGGAGGGAGGTGGCGTGTCACCCACTGAGCTCTGGCCTGCAGGACAGGAGAAATGCCTGCCCTTGTCCAGGCACACAGAGGGGCTGGGGTGTCTGTAGCAGCTCTGCTCCTACCTGCTGTCTACATCCATGCTCCATGAGGGGTCCATACTTTCGTCCTTGTGCATTAGCTTCACACTGCCTCTGCGGTCGTGGAGGAGGCAGGTCTGCCCCATCACGGTCATAGGGCCGAGCATGGGGGCGGTGGTAGAAGAGGGTCCCCGCAATCTGCAAGACGCCAGAGGCTGATGTCTCCCCCCTGCAGCAGCCCGAGGGATCCGGGGAAGCTGCGCCGCCCCATCCCCGGCCCCACAGCGGGGTCCGCAGGGCAGGAGCCGCTCACCGGTCCGCGTACCGGCTGGCCTGCTCCTGCGCGCCCAGACTCCGCCTTTGGCCTGCTCGGACCGGCGCGCCGAACCGGCCGTCCTGGGACCCGGGCCGGGAGCTGCGGCTGTCCATGGCGGCGGGGCAGGGGCCGGTGTGTGGGGCCGGTGTGTGGGCCCGGTGTGTGGGGCCGGTGTGCGGGCCCGGTGGTGTGGGGCCGGTGGTGTGGGGCCGCTGTGCGGGCCCGGTGGTGTGGGGCCGGTGTTGTGGGGCCGGTGTGCGGGCCCGGTGGTGTGGGGCCGGTGTGCGGGGCCGGTGGTGTGGGCCCGGTGTGTGGGGCCGGTGTGGGGCCGGTGTACGAGCCCGGTGTGCGATGCCGGTGTGCGGGCCCGTTGCCGGCGCGGGCGGGGCCGTTGCTGCCGCCGTCCCCCTGGCAACAGCCGCGCCCCGCGCCGCCATTGGTCGCCGCGCCGCGAGCCGGCCCCGCCGCGGCCAATGAGCGGCGGCGCTCCGGGCCCCGCCCGCGGGAGGGGCCGCTCCGCGCTCCCGGCGGGCGGCAGCGCGGCTCAGCGCCCGCGGTTTAACGAGCACCGGCCCGTCCCGTTAATTACACACGGACCGCCCTCCCTCGTTCCCCGTGAGGATCCTCTCGCAGAGCAGATCCCTCCAAGGCTCGGTGCGAGGCAGGCAAAGCCCCGCTGCCCCGGGGAGCGGGCGTACGGCCAAGCCGCCTAGGGACAGGGAAAGCCACCAAGGACACGGGGACACCGCGGCCGTGACTCCTCCGGTCCTTGCATCCGCTGACTGCGGCTGTCAGCTGGCACCAAGGTGCCCTCTGCCATCCCGGCTGGGAATGTTAGTGCTGTGCTGCTGCACAGAGCACAGGACACTGCAGCCCTCTACCTTGAGCCCCCCCACCAACCCCAGCTCCAGGAGAAGCCCGGGTTTGGGACCCACCTCTGCTGCTCCTCCTCTCCTCCCACAAGTGCCCTCCCTTTCCCCAGAGAAAGCCAGCACAGCTCTGCCGTGGTGCTGCAGTTTCATAAAAACATACATAAATATATTTCCATTTCTGTAAGAGAGAGCAAAGCTGCACAGGCACCTATAAAACACACAGTCACTTCTCCACCCAGCGCTCCCAGCACAGGTCGTATAAAACATATAAAAGGGGAGCAGGAGACAAAGGCTGCAGGTGAAGCAGGGATACAGTGCCAAGAAGACCCTCGCTAGGGCACAGGGAGCTGCCGGGGGTCCCTGCAGCATTGCCACCCTCAGAACTTGTGCCTTCTCCGGCGGCAGCCTTTGGGCCGCTGCTGGCTGCCTCCATGGAGAGCCACGGGCAGCTCTGAGTCCACCACACCATCCATGGCTTCCAAGGAGATGCCGGGTTTCGCAGGGGAGACATGGAAAGGACGGTGCTGAAGGGAGATGGGGCTGTCTGCTGACAGCTCCCCATCAGCAGCTGAGAGTGTGGGAGAGGACTGTTGGTCTCCTAATCCAGTGAGGGGAGTCTCCGTGTCAGCACCTGCAACAAAAGCACACGTCAGCCCTCCTGTGTGAGCCACGGGTGCTGCCAAGAGCACCTCTCCCCCCTCTTCTCCTCCTGCCCTTGGATCCATGGAAGGAAGTGCTGGTGCACAGACAGGGACAGCAGAAACCTCCCACATCCCCCAGGAAGCTGGACGTGTTTTGGTGCAATGGTTCAGAGTACACCCCTATTCCTGCGATGGCTGTGTGCTCTGGTGTGGGTCCAGTGGGCACAAATCCAGTGGGTACTGGCAGGAATGTGTGTGGGGGAATGCTGACAGCCAACTAATCCCACAGCCTCCTCAGAAAGAACAGACCCTTCCAAGGGGAATTTACTCTCCCAGAACAGCCCAGGCTGAGCCAGGACCAAAAGGGGAGAGCTGGGAAAGAGCAGCCCTGACCCAGCCAGGCCAGCACAGAACGTTTTCCACCTTCAGACTTGCTCTCCGAGAGCTCCAGCATCCTGAGGAGTCCTCTCTCCTGCCTTCCAGTGTCCTGCCAAGGAGAGGAGAACCACCATCAGAGCGCTGCCACAAGGGAACCCCTTAGCCAGGATGGCCTCGTGGGCACTTGTTCCCCCAGCCCTCAGGGTCAGGCTGGGGACAAGAGGGACTGCTGCTTATCCAGGGCCTCCAGCCACCCGTGGGAAGGGCACTGCTCTGTGCCCAGCCCAGCTAGTGCTCAAGCAGAGGCAGCAGAGAGCAGCTAATCAAGCAGAACCTGGTAAAGAAGGAGGCCAGGGTACAGGATGCCAGCCTCAAGCCCAGCCAGCAAGCACGGGGCTGTGATAAAGGGGGGCATCAGGGGCTCTGACACAGCTGGAACACATCCCCCAGCACTTCATGTCCAAGAGTAGATTTGTCCCACTCTGTCCAAGGGTATTGGTGCTTGGTGCTGGATGGAAGGGCCTTCAGGGCACTGCCAGGCAAGGAACACACCTTGTGCCCTCTCTTTGCCCCGGGAAGATGCAACCATGCTGGTCACACATACTAGGGGAAGACCACTTGGCGTGGCTGCTTTGAGCCTCACTGGCCCAGCAAAGTCCCCTCTCCTGGCTGCTCTCTGTGCCCAAAACTGCTCTGGAAGGCACTGGCATCCTGGCTGTGGCAATGGAGCTGCAAATCACCCCAAAATGGGATATTGCAGGAAACTGCAAGCCCAATTGTGCCATTAGGAAGCTTTGCAATGAACGGCCCAGCCAATGCCCAGGCTTCCCCAGTGAGCTGCACCCCAGCAAAAGACAGAGCCAGAGGTAACAGAGCCTTGCTGAGCCTTCCCAAAGAGCCCCCTGGCTTCACCATCTTTTCCCCATAGCCTGTGCTCGTGCCTGCTTGCAGGACCCACACACCAGCCAGCTGTGGGGCACAGGGACAGAATCAAAGAGCCCCCACAGAGCTGGTCACATGCAGGAGAAGCCATACCCTGCGGTACTCTGAACCACACAGTGCTTAGCTGAATCCCAGCCAAAATCATCCACCAGAAATCTCATCATTTGCATCTGAATCCCTAAAGGGCCGAGGTCTGTGATGGATTTAAGGGATTATACAAAACTAAGACATCATGTTGCATCTTCATGCCGTGAATCACATTTCTGAGCGCAGGCAAAGCTGCAGCACGAGGGTTTTGCCTGCAGGAGCCAGCAGGAAGACCTGGAAGGACCCTCTGTGCTCCCCTGAGACTGCCACAAGCAGGAAAAAGCAAGGTGGGGGCTAACACCTGGCGAGTGACTGTGAGCCAGCTGCCACCCACGCTCCTGCCTCCCACCTCCTCTAGCAAGGCACGTTCCCCACACCCAGCACACCTCCAGCACACTCACTCCCCCACAGTTCTCCTGGGACGCTGCTGTTCACTCCCAGCACTGAGCAATTTCCCCTGCTCTGGCTCTGAAGCCTTCCCCGTGGGAATGGGCTTGTGGATATCCGGATAGGTTTGTCATCCTGACGCTGGCCTTCCCTCCACCGACATCCAGCCGAGGAAGGCTGCAGGACTGAGTGGTGCTGGCTGGCAGCAGCACAGCACTGGCTGCCTGCCCGCTGGAGAGGCTGCTGGCAGCTCTGCTGGATTAGCTCACCCCTGGGACCGGCCACTGCTCTCGCAGACCGGCGTGGCAAGGAGGGAGTGAGTTCTCTGTCCACAGTGGCCCACAGGGATAGGTAATCCTACACCAGGTCAGCTCATCCCTGCCACCCAGGGAAACGGCTCCTGCTGCCAACCCAGCCCCAGACCCGGCACAAAGCAAAGGGGATGGTGTGCAGGGTCACCCCCTCACCTTGGCTCTTCGCAGCCTCCTGGTTCCCTGAGCTTGCCTGGCAGCCTGAAGGCAGCTGTCCACGTGCCTCTGATACTGCAGCAGTGGCACCAGTGACTTACAGAGGTAGCACTTCTCACACCTGCCAGGCAGCAAAGGACAGAGCACTGCATTAGGATTCACCCTGCACCAGGCTCCCAGACACCAGTGGTGACTCTCCTCTCCAGGCCATGCCGTGGAGAGGAGAGTCACCAAATCCAGTCTCGCTCAGTGGGGTCAGGCTGGCACCAATCGCAAAGACTGAGTGATTATCAGTTTTCCCTGCCTGTTCCTCTGTATCCTGCTGCTGCAGCAGCGGGACAGTAATCAAATCTGCTCATCTAACTATCTGAAACACCACTGATTTTTCCCCAGACATAAAGCACCCTGTCAAAATCTACAGAAATGAAGTGCAAGGGCTTTGCAAAGGGGAGTTAAATTCTGCCTGAAAAGTAAACCAAGTGTGTTAAATCAGAGAGACATTTTACCAGGGCTGGATGAACTTGTCTGACTAGTAAATCAAGCCTTTCTCTGCACTGTCTCCATTTTACATCATGCCATGCAGGGAGAGGAATTGCAGAGCACATGCTCCTGCTGGGGGGGTTGCCTCAGCCTGTTTCTCAAACCCCCTCGTTTGGGTGGAAGATGCTCAGGCTCACGCAGGACAACTGAGTGTTCTTTGGAAGAAGATTATTCTGGGTGAAAGGAGATGAAGGTCAGGCATAGATTTGCACAGCTACACTCACTCCCACACCAGCTCTCAGCAGGGACTGTATCCTGCAGAAGAGGACACTGGCTCTTCAGGAGGGAAGCTGCATTCAGGAACAGACTATCTCCAAGAAGAGACAAAGCCCCAGGGACCAGCCCCAGCAACATAGTGTTCAGTTTGATAGTGGTACTCTCTGAGTGAAACACCCCAGGCTCTAAAATGCATATGGAGAGCCCCCATCGAGCAAAACTCTGCAGCACTTTTTCCCATATTTTCTTTCCAGTCAGTACTGATTACCCAGATAATGTGTCTAAACAGAAGCTGTCCTCTCTATAATTAGCCTAATTCCATTAGTGATGTTGCCATCCACTGTTTGTAACAGCAAAATTGCTTCCATAGCAGGGATTTTACTGTCAGATCCTCTCTTATGATGCTTTGTGTGGGTGGCAGGAGGAGGGGCTGCATGGAGAGAGATTAAACAAAGCCACTGCTATTCTGAAAGTCTAATTTAATTAAGGATATCACTACAGGTGCCATGTTGACAGCCTCCATGTCCTGGCCTCTTCTTTTCCAAGGGTTACCAAGCTCAAACCTCCCGTCAGAAACTGGCTGAGTTAGCACCATTTTAGCTCCAGCTCCCCCCCAGCAGCCATGCGGCCCTGACCGGTCATGGATTGGGCTGAAAGGAAATCAGTGCAAAAATAAACAATCTAAGAACAGCAAATTCCTCTTGCTTTGGCTTAAATATAGCCAGCACTGCAACAAGAGGCACTGAGGAAAAGTAATTTCTTAGGGAAACACTGTTATAAGGCCAACAGCCAGCATTTGTACAGGAATAAAGGCATCCATAGTCAAGCTAGTATAGAACCACAGATATAATCTTGGAGGAGCAGGCATACTTACTTACTTGTCATTGTCTGAGGATGGTGGGCTGCTTTTACCACTGGCAGCTTTATTTCTTGCCTCTCTCTGACGCCGGGTGAGCACTGGAGGAAAAACAGAAAGGGTTAACAAAAAGGGTTACTACCATCCACCCCAAAACATCCCTACATCATGCTCAAGTGCACCAAGTTTCCATCACTTCCACTCAAAGCTGCAGCAGAAGTGGTGGTAGAGGAGAAGAAACAGTGGACTGGGAAAGCAGGGTCTTCTTTCCTGCAGAAGAGGTTGATGAACAATTGTCCTTTTTTCCTGGGGGAATACTGAAAAATTTACCTTTCCCAGACTGGGGAGCCAGCTGACCACTTCACACCTAATTTGCCAGAAAACAGCTGGATTGACAGTCTGTAGTTTACAGGAATTTCAGAGCTGATGACAGCAGTGTGATAGCCTGAGAGCAGCGTTACCAGCTGCTCTGGCAGCACAGCCCAGCTCCCTGCCAAACCAGGCTCCCATGGCCGCTGCAGGAGGGACAGTGCCACTGTGGGCTCAGGGAACAGAGCACAGGCAAGGGCTGTGCAGAGGCACCAGACCTTTGATAGAGAGCCTGGCTGGGACAGGACACAGCTCACACTGGAAAGGGAAAGTTACAACCATTAGCCCACACTCATCACCTTCCCACTGCCCATGTGAACCATGGTGATCTGTGCTACTGCCCACAGACAGCCCGGGCAGTCCCCTGGATGAAGATCTCTGGCAGGAGCAGCGCTGCTCTCCAGAAGCTCCAACACATGGGTAGCCAGTGAGATCCCCCCTGAGCAGCTGACGGGTCCAACCATTTCTGTTCCCCCAGCAAGCCCAGGAGCCTTTCCCAACTGGCTCTGCAGGCATCTGCAGGGAGCACGTTGGAGTGTTGTCCCTTCCAGCTGAATTCCTCTCAGCGTATTCCTGTTGACATACCACCAGCAAAGATCCTCAGGGAGCATTTCAGATAGCTCAGCCTGCTTCACCAGGGACGTTCAAGACTCCAGCTCCAAAACAGATGTCACAGTAAGCGCTCTCAGGCATGCTGGCTAAGGGGACAATGCAGGGAGCTGTTTTACGGCTCTGTGATGCTGCTTCCCACACTCATGAGGACAAAAGTCTGACTCCAAGGTATAGGCACAACAAACTTGTTATTGTTAGCACATCATCTGTGATAGAGAAAGCAAAGCACAACATTTTGTGCGGAACAAAGGGAATTCTTCTGAGCTTTAGCAAAACCCCATTTCTAGAATGTTGGGCAACCCCAATATCTATCCATAATGCAACACAGCCTTTCCTTTAGCAGCAATCACTGATCTGCAGCCACAACCAGCAATGTACTGTGAAGTGCTCAGGAGCTGTTGGGGCTGATGGGAGACAACCAATGCTGAAGAAACAAGTTCAAGCCTTCCTGGGATGTGGGTATTGTCTCCTAGGCGATGAGTGATACCAACAGCGCATCATTCACAGGAACTAAAGCAAATGTCTCTTTTTAACATAGCCTGGCCCAGATCTGAAGTGGCAGCCTAACTAGGAAGACTGGTAACAATGGCCACCCCCCAGGCCATCCAGCCTCCCAAGAACCCAACCAACATATGTGTTTGACAGCATGGTGAGAACTGCTCTCCAAATCAGCGTGTGCTCGTTAATATTCCTTAACGAGCCTTGTGCACCAGCTCAGGTGTTAATCAGTTCTATTTTCTTCCAAAAGCAGTGAACACATCTGGCATAATGGGCCTGTTAGAGATGTCTGGGACTAGCTCTGCGGCTGCCAAGGAGGAGACCCTCAACTGCATTGCTGGAAGAAGCAGCAGAGGAGAGAGAACAGAGCCAGTTGGTGAGGCATAACCCCTGCCAAAAAATGCTGGTTGCCCCCAAGAAGGGGGTTCAGAACACAGGAAAAGACTTGCCACGGGCCAAATCCCCACCACAGAGCAGTGCTGACCTGCTTGTGTGTCAGGAGCCTTGTATTTCTCCCAAATGCAATGCTCTTTGCTGGGTCAGACATACTCCGTGGCCCAAGAACAACCTTCTCCCTCACTTGGCATTTTTTCTGGTTGACAAGTCATTCTTGGCCTGTTTGGCTCCAGCAAACCCTGCCCAGTATGGCCTTGCTCTCAGCACACTCAGCCCAGGCACCTGCTGGGGCTGCCAGGTTTGGCTGGCACGTGGAGCTGCGAGGTCAGAGCCACTGAGCACCTTCCTGCCCAGCCCACCTGCGGTCCCATCCACCAGCTCCCTGTGCTCACTGCCAGCTGTGCCACTTCCCTGCAGGATCTGTTAGTGTCTGGCTCATGGCATCTTGTCCCTTCTCAGAAGCCATGCAGTTTTCCTCTGCACCCATTTCATTACTCCTTCTGCTGTATCACTGCCACTTGTAATGCTGTCAAGAGCTTTGTAACAGCACCAGTGCTGCTGCTGAAGACTGACAGACAACTGCATCGAGACTGCATTGGAGCCTTTGGGAGGAAGGGATATACCAAATCCTCATTTTGCTGGGCTCACTTGGGAACTGAGAATGCCGGATGGATGTAGATGAAGGGTGAGAGGCGCTGAGTATGCCACAAAGCCCAAGAGTATTTGCTGTACTCAGCTGCAGCCAAGACTCACTTCCAGACCAAGACCAGCAGATCCCTGTGCTGGCAGCAGCAGAGGGTGATGGATGTGGTGACTCCAGCAGAGCCCTCTCACACAAGTGAACCCCTTCAGCTGAGTGTACAAAGAAAGAGGGAGCTGGCACAGAAATTCCACAGCTCCACTCATTCACTTGGAATTAACACCAGCCACTGAGCTGGAAACCCAGGGTCTCAGCCCTCCCCAGCCTGGTACAGTAGCTAAAACAACATCAGGCTCTTCTTTTTTATTTACTCAGATCACAGGAAAGTGGGAATTCATGATAAGATTTTCATGCTGCCCAGGTATGTGGTGGTCTGGGCATCCAGCCAGGCTGACCATGTACATAGGGGAAGCAACTGTAGCTCATCTTGCCCAGCTGCTCATTTGAAAACTTGCCCTTAGATGTCAGCCAGACAGAGCTGGCCTCGTGAGACCTAGGACTGAGAGACTTTGGTGCATGATTATAAGAGGGAAGAAGAGAAGTAAAACCAGCAAGAACTCATCCTTTTGTAGTATTAAAATGAAAATCACTGACAGCTATAGTTTGCAGGACTGCAATTCCAGAGACATCAGGAGTAAGTCTAATTAATAAATCTGAAGACAAACTAAGGACCCCTGATCCAGTGCACCAAAGGAAAACTGAAGCCTTAATAGATCAGGGCATGGCTTAGAGAGCAGAACTTTGACTTCCTCTCACACAAGGCTGTTGCTGTGCTCCCAAGGAAGCCAGCAGCCAGCCAAGAGCACACAGTGCTGCAGCAGTAGAAAACAGCTTCTGGACCCACACAGGAGCTGGCATTTGCTTCAGAAGACAATTCTCTCACATCTTTGTTCTCCCCATGCATTAGCTTTACCTGTGGATGTTGTGCTAGTGGTGGATGCCAAGGTAACAGCCCTGGAAACAGAGTCCTTTTGTACCTGCACAGCTGTGCCAGGCTATTGTCTGGCCTCTGCTCAGAGCTGAACAGCATCTCTGCCTATTCAACCCAAATCTCACTGACCAGCCCAGCAGCTGAGAGCCCTTTGGGTGACAGTTGCCTTCTAACAACTGTTGGAAGCTGGCCTGAGGTGCCCCACAAGCCAGAGCCCCACAGGCAGGCAGGATTCTGCCCAAGCCCGGTAAGCCCATGGTCTGCAAAGAGTCTGGGTGCAAACAACACAGGTGTCTTAGACTGTTATGGCTAATAGAGCCTGGTCTCTACAGGGAAAATACTAGAATAACTGGCAATAGAAAACTCAAATTACTGTGATTTTGTCCCAGACCCATTGCTCTACTTACAGCCATTATTACAGAGCAAAATTCCTTTTATTCCAGGCTGGTTTCCTTACAGGGGGATTGTTCTGAACAAGCCAGAACAGCAGAGTAGCAATTCCAAAATAACTACCCTTACAAACATCCCCAAGGAGACTAGCCTGGAAGCAGAATGGAGAGGCCAGCCTTGAACTCTGTCCTGCTGAAAGCCAACGCCAAAAAAAAGAACAGATTCCCTTGCACTGCTGAAGACTTCAAAGCCTTTTCCTGATCACAGTGGGAATTCCCCAGGATCAATGGATACACTCACAGTCCAGCCACACCAGAGACCAGAATACCACTAGGCCAAAGACATTCCTGCTAAAAGGCACATTAAAATTCTGCTCCATTTTGTAACACAAATAAAACTTCTATCAGTCTTGAGGACGGGAGAGGAACTATGATAATTTGTGATTTGCCTGAGCCAAATGTTTTGCATCAGTAGCTGGGTTGTGCCTGCAGAGAGAACCTTCAACCAAAATTGTATCAGCCTTTACTCTGGCTCCTGTTATCTTGACAGGACCCATGGCACATCCCCAAAGATTTAGTATCGCAGGAACCTTTTATTTAAAAACTACATCAACTCTGCATTAAGATTACACGGCGAAACTCCCTCCTGCTAGAGGAATGCAGAAGTTACAGTTCTTGTACTAGCTATGATTTGCTCAAATTGCTCAAACATCACAGATTTAGGCTGCATTTAACAAGCCAGTATGTAACTGAAAATTATATATTCACAGCCTGAAAAGTTAATCTTATTACAAGCTACTACTTTGATATTACCCGACATTGTGCTAACACAGATTTTACATTTCAAGCAGCAGCTAAAACATAACTTACAGAATATGTTGATAATCAACCAGTGTATTTGTTCACTTAAGCTCTACAAAGGTTGGCTATGGAAAACTGATATGAAAAAGAATACAAAGAGGATTAATATGGGCATTCCAACTGTGCTTCTGTGCCTCACTTTTCACATGAAGGAGAAAAATCCACACTCCCAGACTGATAGTTATCATTTTGCAATTTTAGTGAAACAAGAGGAAAACTTTTCTGCAGATTCTGCCACCTGAACAGGCCATTTTTGCACATACAAATGTCAGACCTCATGCAGAGCACAGGGCATTCTTGTAGTAGTACAGAACATTTTCCCCTCTCAATAGCCCTGAAGGACAATTGCCCACATGGCTCAAGCCTTCCATTTTCTACCACTGCCACATTCTCTGCAGGTCCTAAACAAAGCACACAATAGACAAATCTTACAAGTACTGCTTGAAGCATCCAGAACTAGATCCCGGGGTAATATTCAAGAGCTGATAATGTGGGGAATTATTGTGTGAAGTCAATCAGAAATGATGTCTCTGTGCAGGAGGTGCTGGAAATACCAGAGCCTCCAATAACACTCTCCTGGGCAGCATGGAGATGGAATAAGGCAGAGTGAACAAACCTCCCCATACACCAAACATCTTGAGAGAGACGAGACTGCAGCACCTGCCTGCCAAGTACCAAGAGGGAAGGGGGTGAGCACGAGGAGCAAACACGTGGAAGGAGCACTCGGCAGACCTGGAGCATCCTCGCCAGGCTCCGCTCCCGCTGCGCCGTTGCAGTACATGGCGTGCACCTCGATCTCGCCAGCTGGGAAGCTGTGGTCACACAGCGGGCACGACACACGGGCAGCAGCTGGAGCACTGCACTCGGACACAGTGCTGCCAGCATCTTCATCCTCACCAACCTAAGGAACAAGAAGAAAAATTAGCCAGACACGGCTGTTTCTCTTACTTTGCTTAGGTGCAGAGCTCCATGCTGTCTGCTAGCTACTCATGCTCACAAGGACTCAGACTTTCTTGATAGTTTTACTCTTCATCACATAATGCTCAGAAATAACACCACCGGCTGAATAAACTACGCTGCACTAATAACTAATTTTTCTTGCAAAGGCAACATGTCCTTCTGAATCATGGTGAAACTCCCTGCACAGCCATGCACACCATTTAAGGCAAACATCACCTGCACTAAAGTGGAAAAACGGCAAAGCTTCCATTAATCAGGAAATCTCAGAAGCGAAACTGATGGAAAATTCATGGGGCAAAGCAAGAGTTCAACACTTGACTTGTGCTCATCAGTTTCTGGACATGATCCATGCTACGCAGGCGGCATTGTCTGGGAACACAGCTTCCCCCAGGATGAAAGGAGGCTACTGTGGTGTTAGGAAGCCTGGAGAGATCACTGGAAGCTCCTCCTTTAGAGAGGAGGTGGCTGGAGCAGTCATGAGAGGGGACACCGATCAAGGAGAGAGGCAATACCATTAAAAATCTGTGTCACACAAAATTACTAGCAGAGGCTTTTTGCCAGGGCAGAATGTCACAGCTCGTGTACATTCTCAGAGTGACATTACCATTTATGGACACTTTCTTTTTGCATTGGTCACACAGCTGCAAAGGTGCTCCACTACCAACCCACAGAGATCCAGCCTGCTCCCTATGCCACTGACATTCCCAAATGCAGCAGACTGCAGCCATCTCACTCATAACTGCATCTCTGCCTAGTCAGGCTTGTTGTAAGATTTTTCCACATTTAAGAAAAAACCTTCCCCTCCCCACGATGATTAAGAAAAGCTATTTAAATATTAACCATGTAGAGAAATCTATAGAAAAATAATATAGGAGAGGTTTCTGTTCTTAGAGCTAAGCAGTGACATGTGGACAGTGTGCAGCAAAACTGCTGCCTGCATCCCTCCAACAGTATCATTTCAGGGAAGCAGTAATTGGGGTCAGCCAAGATGCTCTGTGCCACTGGAGCGCTTTGCTGTCTTACTCGGTTTATTACTTCCTTTCCCAAATGAGGATCTGATCCTGATTTTTATGTCCTAAAGGGAAGGAGGGTGCTTTGTTGACTCAGAGGAGCTATGACAAAAATCGCAGGACTGGGACTCAAACTGAGATTCCAACTCTCAAAATGCATTTCTCCCCAACAATAGCTGAAAGGCTACGAAAGCGAGCCCCAGGAACATCCCTCATTCCCAGGGAGGCTCTCTGCCCTGAATTTCTGCAGAGGAGTTGCCACAAGAGTTCCTCCAGCCAAACACAGGCTGCCGAAGTACATCACTTACAGCATTAACACTTGTACCCCTCTCTCACATCTCAGTGTCATTACATCCTGTGAAGTCCTCACTGTGGGGCATCACACTGAAGAGCCATAAAATACAAGATGTGTCAAACATGAATGATCAGATCAAACCTGCACTACACAGACAACACACATAAAAAATATGATGGGAAAAGCAGCAGGCACTGCTCCTTCTAGCTGCCTTTTTTAAAGCAATCTTAGGAGATCACCAATTCTGCACACCCTGCCCGCCTACATTCAGCGGTAAATTACTAATTTTAAATGGAAATGCAACATTCTGTAACAAAAGACTGCTTGTACAAAACCTTGCTGTAACAGTCTGGAAAACCTCAACTGCAGAACCAATCACCCCTGTCAGAGCCAGAGACAGTTGCCTCTGCTTTTTAGCAGAGGAAATTGCCTACAAGACATAGTACTTGCAGCCAACAGCCAGCCAAGAGCAATGCTAGAGGCTGAGCTCAACAACAAGACTCTTGTGTCCTGGCTCAGCATCTGCTAGGAAGAAGGTCATTCCCAGTGGTCTCTGCTTGGCTCCTGCAAACCACTGATGCCATGGTAGCTGTTTCTGCTGTTTTCCTGGAGGGCTGTGGCTCTGGTCTGGGACCTGCTGCCAACCATAATGAAGTCAAACAATCCCTAGGAACCTGCTCCCCACCACCTTGTGCCACCCAGGCAGAGATGTGAGACACAGGGCACCCTCTGCAATGCACAAGAGGACAGGGCAGTGTCCTGGCCACAGCCAAATGGGTCATGAATGTGCTTTGGTGGCCAGCCCAGGACTGCCTCTCTCTTTGCTGCAGTCCCTGATTGACTGAGCAGTGCTTGGAGATACCTGCAGAATGAAAGGCACACGAGAGCAGAAGATGGTTTATTAAGAGGCCTGTGAGAATGAGACATTGGAACTGCAGGCGTGCTGTACAAGCTGCAAACTCCCAGAATGAGCTTTCCACAAATGAATCCTCTTGTCAAGAGCTGTACGATTCTGTATTCACGTACCCTGAACCAGAGGAGTACTTGGCAACCCCTTTGATATCGCTCTCTAAATTAATAGACAAAGGGAGTTTTATCAGAAGCAGGAACTGAAGTCAGATGTTGGTACAGTGACAGCTGCAAAGCAATTGCTGTGCAGGTGTGACAACACAGGGAAAGGGGTTGCACACAGCACACATCTGCAGCAGAAGGTAAAAGAATGGCCCTGCCACTGACTTACTATTGCTATTAACTATTACTGCACAAAACTCAAGATTCCCAGACTCAGGACACTCTGCTTGGTCTGAAAACCACCAGCAGCTCTCAACACTTCGTGCACATCTTTATATCAGTCTGATCTCTGAGTGAAGCTCTCCTCTTAGCCTCCTGGGCTGTGGAGAGCAAACTGGAGTTCAGAGCACCGTAACAGGGAAAAGCAGGTGACAGCACAAGAGACTGAGGTTTACTCAGACTCCCCTCAGAGCTCCTGGGGTCCCTCTGCATTGCTGAGCATCACAGCTTGTACCCCTGAGCATGGGCAAGCAACAGCACTGCCGCCCACGCTGATGGCATCCTCCAGCTCAGCAGCACTGGGATATAAAAGAACGGGCTGGAATTGATAACAGCTCTCCAGCTATAGGACTGAAAGGCTTCAGAAGCAGCTGCATGCAGTCCCCAGCCAAAAGGGACTGGAGATATGAAGCAGTAGAGAAAAGCAAAGAGGAAACTGTTTGTGAGGATCCAAACAGCACAAGTCCAAGCTTCCAGCTACCTACAGAGAAATGCCAGCACAGCTCAGCTGAACCAAGGTCTAAAAGGCAGGGCTGGAAACAGGACCCTTCAAGCTCTTTTACCTGCATAGGTGCACCTCTGCTGTCTAAACAGAGCTCTTCACTCTCCTCCTCAACAGCTTCCAGTGGGCTTGGCTGTGTCTCTGCAGGAAAACATCTCCATGTCAGCACAGGTTTGCAGTCCCCAACTATCTCTTCACTTGTTGATGTAGCTTAGTCCTTAACGCTTTTTAAGAGTTTTCACAGTTTCAAGACTTTCTTTAGACTTGCCACAAATGTTAACAGATAAAGTGCAACAACACAGCCAGATGAGGGGTTAAAGTCACAGCATGGTAGTGTGAGGATAAAGGCACTGCAGCTGTGTAGCTTCATGGGGAGTGGGATTAGACACAAAGTGTGCGGGACACTTGCTGGGATGGAGACAAAGCAAGAATAGAGCTGCTTTCACATCAAGACAAGCAGAGCTCCTATTCCATGGTCTGTCTCACAGTCACACCTTCTTCAGACCTCCACATCTTTGTTAGCAACAAAACATGCCTCCAAGCACCACCATGACCTGTCCTGCTACAGCTGTTCATGAACAGGAGCAGCCTCTTCGTTATTTTTCTCACTTAAAACCCTAGACCAGAAAATCTCAAACATGGTAGGAGAGACAAGGAAGAAAAACTCCTTAGTCTCAAACATCTTTAATTAATGTAAGACAAAAATTATTTCAGCTCTCATGCTTTGCACATTGTCTTGACACTGAAAAATCTGAAAATATGATTGCACTGCAGAGACATCTTGCTTTGAGTGATCCCTCCATGCCCAATGCACATCCAGGTGTCTCTTCAGCAAGTCTCCAGCAATCCCTGTCACAGGACTGCCTTAGAGGAAATGGATCCAAAACTAGGGGATCAAATTAAATTACCTGAATAATTTTAGCCTTGAAAAATGGAGATGGGAAATAAATCTCGTTTTGTTCAAATAACTTGAAAATTCTCTTTTCTCTGAATTTCCTAAGCATGTAACTTTTGGTACAAAATTTTAACAGTCTCAAGTGCCTCTTACCTGGGCAAATAGAGATCTCTTCTTCAGCAGAGTTTTCTGTGGCAGTACCTGGGCTCCTTTTACTGCCAAGTGGGGTCATTGTGGAGATGCTGTTCAAAACATAAATATAACAAGAATTTCCAACCCAGTAGGAGAGAGGGCCACACCTGCCTTTCTTACACAGTTGAGAACAGCAGATGATGCCATAATTTCCAAGTGGTCAATATCTGACAGCCAGAAATGACCAGGATTAACAGCAAAATATGGGTCTAAAATGCCATCCTAAGCAAAAGCCCCAAAGGGAACATTTTTTTCTTCTAGAAAGGCAGAAAGGGTCATTATCTCTTGTCAAGGGAGCAAAAATACCTGCTCACAATTGTGGGACTCTCTGTGGGAGAAGGTGTGGGAGTTGTGCAGGTACCAGCACTGCGCCTCTTTCTGGCTAGGGAAGGAAATCCTCAGGGGGAAAGACAGACCTGCTTTATCCTGCATCATCCTCTCCCTCCTCACACTGCTCATTTCCTCCCTTATCCCTGTCATGGCAGCCAGAAGCAGCACAGATGTGACACAAGACATTTTCCCTGCAGCAAAGTCCTTACAGCATTAGTGTGGTGGTTCCTCAGAGCAGCACCCAGCACTGCTCCTCTCATTTTGACTTTTGGATTCCTCCTTTTTTTTTTCCTCCCACCTCACTGCACAGTCCTTTTTTTTTTCTCCCACCTCACTGCACAGTGTCTTTCTGACACAGACAGGCATTGCTGAGTAAGTCTGGCACCCATGCTGACACACTCTGCGCCTTGCATGGCTCTCTGATTAGTCTGATCAAGTATGCAAGAACACACTTTAAAAACATGAATCCCCACACTGACAAACACAAGATTTATTAAGCTCAACCACAGGCCTTAGAGAAGAGAGAACAGCCACTGCTGATTTATGATAAATAACAAAATTCTGATAGGAAATCACAAGTGGCTTTTCTCTCTAAATAAAGCATCTCAAAGCATTTGTTATGAATCCAGGCTGAGCGTGTTTTACTCTGTGTCTAACATCAGGGCTCTCTTCAAAAGAACTCACACAAAACAACTTGCTATGACATTTATAAAATGGGCTAATCAATTTGAAGTCAAACCACATTTCTTGCTACACCAACTATCTCCTGGTAACAAAGCCTATAATCATTTATTAAAACCCCAATCGTCCATGCTCTGTACAAAGCGTGGAACAAGCAGGGAGAGCAGCCCACAGAAAGCAAAGCAATTTCTTCACAGGACTGGCACTTCCTGAAATGCTCCACTCCCTCCAGACAGCTCAGAGCCATGTTTTCCTATTAAGTGCTGCTGAGGCCAGCCAGTTGGGGTGCCTGAGCCATACCCAAGAGAGGCCTGTGCTGGCAGATTACCAGGAGCCAGATGGCAACACTTAATGTGCACAAAACTGCAAAGACTGCAGCCATTTCTTGCCTTGCTGCTGATGTTCCAGCTGCTCGAGGAGGGGCCACTGCATCCAGGTGCATCCCACCCCAAAGCAGGCAGCCAGGAGCTCCTGGGCAACTTGGGGAATGTCCCAGATTAACCCCACTAAAGGAAAGAGGTCCCTTCTCCTTTCATATCCTCCATATCCTGGGCTGCAGGCCCCAGGCAGGCGGGAGGCCAGCGCTGCAGAGCACACACCTCGCTGCCTTCCACGCAAGCTCAGAGCTCAGCTGTCACAGGCTCATCAGCCTCAGCAGCAGCAGCAGCAGCTGCAGGTTCCTCCTGCTCCCCAAGGCAGGTTTTAAGCTTGTTAGAAAGGTGCAAGCAAGAGGGATTTTCATACTCTGCATATTGATATTAACTGCTCAGGCCAAATGCTGTTAGATCAGAGGAATGTTGGCAGTTTTGTTCCAAAGCAGGTTTAAATTATAAAACCCAGCAAATTAAAAACATGACATTATCTGGCCTTTCTTGTAACTTGCTCTCTGAATCCTCTCCCATTTGTCCTTCTTCTCCATAGCCTGTGGAATTGCATCCCACAGGAAGGAGAGAAAAAAAAAAAAAGGAAAAGAGGAGTAGGCTTAAATCTGAAGAAAATCATGTTGACTTGCCCCACACCTGTCATCTGCTGAAGTGGATTTTCTGGAGCACTGCACTCTATCTTTGGCTGATAGGCAGTGCCGTCTGGCTTCCTCCTCCCTGCTTTCCTCTTCAGCAGTAAGGCAAGAACATAAAAATACACACAGAAATCCAGTAAACCCTTCCCCGTGCTGCCTGTGCGCCTTCCCCGACAGACAAGTGATGGCATCGCTGTAACTCACCTCCAGCTCCCCATGGCTTTACTGCACCATGTCACAGGAGCTTCAGAGGGCAAGGAGCAACTCCTTCAGCTTGTACAAAAACGCACCTTGCACATCTTATAAAGTAACAGCAACTGATCCCTTCTCCTCAGCTGTGCCCCACCCCTCCCATGCTGCTCCAAAGCCATCTATTTCCAGGGATACTTAACAGCAGTGACTGCAGCCAGCCTTTCCAGCAAGCCTTGCAGGGAGCTGTGGTGGGACTGCACCCCACAATACTCCAGGGAGAGTGGAAGAGCCCATATTGCTAGAGAGAACCTGTGACCCCCACATTCTGAACACCTTACTCACCTCTGTGCAATTTGCATGGGTTCCCCATCTTCAGGCACATCCTCTGCAGGCAGTACCTGGGAGGGCTGGAAAGGGAAATTCTGGTGTTATATAAAACAATGTGCACAGCTGACTGGGGTGTGCTGGGTCATTGGATTCTGTCCATGACATTGCACCCAGTCTGCTGTATATTTTTATCTGAAAATAGCTGAGTATCCATCCGGAACTAGTCAGCTTTTTCCCTCCATCCCTGCTTTTGGCAAGGTGCTCCCTGCAATAAACCCTGGCAGTACTTTTTGTTACCTTGCTGCCTAGACGTGCTCCTGGACAGTCCATGCCCACCACTCCTTCCAACACTGCCATCACCTTCCACGCTCTCTGCCTGTTCTCAGCATCCACCTCATAGCCTTTCTCCACCGCCACCGTGCTGAGCTTGAAACAACCCAGGGTTTTTAGTGTCCCCTGTACGCCCCCAGGCACCCAAACAGCCCTCACCTACTCCACTTTAAAACTTATTTTCCTGAGCCACAGTGACCTCATCAACTGGTACAGCTGATGCCTGACCATGAGAAGCACTTTTCTGATATTTCCTAGAGATAAAATCTGTTGCATTTTTTCTTGCCTGGGAAATCAGCTGTCCCATCTACAAAGGGGAACAGATTAACCTGCACAGTCTACAGCTGGAAAATCTGTCTGCGTTTTATCCCATTTTTCATTTAGCTCTACGACTCCACTTATTCTTTCCTTTAAAATTTGTTCAAAAGCCTTATGCACTGCCGAGGTCAGGCTAACATGCCAGTCATTACCCAGATCCCTTTCTTCTTCTGCAGTGTACACGTTACACTTGCCATCCTCTAATCAGGTGGAATTACAACGGTTTATTAGCAGTCCTTGCAGTCAGGCCTACAATTTCTCATGCTAGGTCTCAAAGAAACCCAAGGAGTTTCCTCCCACTTCCTTGAGTCTATCAAAAGCTATGAGCTTGATTTCCACCAAAAGGTTCAACTTTGATCAGCTCCACCCCTGGATACACTTCCCCAGCAAGTTCCAAATCAAGGCCTCTCCTGTCAAATTTCCCTAACATAACTTCAACCCCCAAATATCCTGTTCTATCCATGCTTTCTTTACTCCTTTGCAGCCTAGCTCATCATTAACATAAAATACCACACCTCCTCTTTTATTTTTATTTGTCTTTGTCATGAACTGTGCATTTCTTAACAATGCCTCTGCCTTGGTAATGAACACTCATCTATGTTTCTGTTTTTCCTTGTACATCTGTTATAAAATATGGCACTAATTCAGGTCAGCAGATTCTAAATCTCCAGAATTTGATCTTTTCCCTCTGAATCTTTTAAACACCAAGAGTTCCCTAACCTTATCTGAAAGGCTCTAAAAAATTGATTCTATTAGCACTGAAGTTTGTTAGTGCAGGTTCACAGGCTGTGAGATCTCCCGACAACCAGGATTTGCTCTGTGCAAACAACTCCTGGCTGTGGGAGGCAGTGGCAGCAGTTGAACTGCTGCCAGGGTGGAAGGTCTGTGCCCATTCCAGGTGAGGGTTTCAGGGCAGGAGTACAGGCAGCCTCCCTCAAGCACATTATTTGCACCTTCATTTCACACATGGCATGAGGCCATGTCCTTTTTGAAGGACAGTTTTGAGTCCTCAAGGGTGGTTTCTACACTCAGCACAGCCTAAGATCTCCAACCAGCCCCACCAGCAGAGCAGCCCTGGTGGCACTGGGGGAGCCCCAGGGCAGCACAGGCAGCAAAAGGTCTGCGAGAGATGCAGCAAGGTGGAGACACGACAGCTCTGGGCCCCTCCTTTGTCACTGCCGGTGGAATTGTATTTGATAGAGGGAAAAAAAAATGGAGACAAGGCACAAGCAAACATCAAACATATCGATTTTGCAAGTAAATCACCTGCTCTGGCCTCAGTGTGTGACTGCACAGAGAGGCGAGAGAAAGGAGCTACCTCTCATGCTGAGTGTGATAAAGCAGATGAAAAGGCATTTAGAAAATATTTTCTCTCGTGTAAATAGAACACTGGCAAATTTTGGGCTAGGGTTGAAATTGTAAAGTCTGTTCCCCCTCCCTTATGTTTTCACCTTAAAAATATCAGAAAGACTACATCTCTCAGCTATGGCTCTGAGACAGCTCCCATGGTCAAGAGGAGCAGGTTACAAGTTACTACTCAGCACCACTAACACCTCTTTTCTCCCCAAGAATTAATTAGGTATTAGCATTAAACAGATAATATTTTTAAAAGTACCACACAATTTTCCGTACTGATTAAAAGTTCATGCCCTTCCCAGCTGCTGTAGCTTCCCAAGGGCTTTAGAGTACACATCCACAGACCTCCAGTCACCCCAATCTTCCAGTATAATGACACCTTCATTTCCAGAGGAAAAGCTACAGTAAAAAAAGTGCAGCTTGCTTTAAGAACCTCTCAGGTCTTTTGTATCTATCCTAAGGAAATGAAAAAGGGCACAAGTCAGTTCCTTTCCTCTGCAGATCACCTCTAAAGCTTGTTTAAATCTCCATCTGCTAAACCCGAGCCAAAGCACTGCCATGAAAAGCCACATTTCAGCACAGGCTGCTCTGCTCTTTTTCTGCAACCAGAAAATGCAGACATGACGTTTTTCCTAAGTGTTCAATATTACAAGACAGAATATAAATATCACAAAACAAGTTAAGTATCTTTCTAACACCAGGGTAAATGATCAAATACTCTTGAAAACAGGAACAACAGAGCCAAGGCTTCAGTCATAGAGAAGATAAAGTTATACAATGATCCGGGAGTGAAGTCATTATGAAAAATGAGGGTTGGAAAAGGCTGACACAAACCTAAAATACAGCAGTAATAAATACTTCATCTGACTAGCAATCTGTTTAAACTTAGCAGTGACAGAAAGCTGCCTTCCGCTCCAGCAGGAGAGCCCTGACAGAGACAGAGGCTGACACCTAGTGTCTAGCACGCCCGAGCCCGAGAGAAGTGCCCAGCACCAGGACAAGGACAGGGAGCACCCCCGTGGTGACAGACCACCAGGGCAGGCAGAAGGTGCCTGTGACCACACAAAGCCTCTCTCAGCCACGAGGGAGAAGAGCACTTCCAAGGGTGAAGCACTTATGGATGCAGATAAGCATGGAGGGACAAACAGGAAAGACTGTACTGCAAGGACAAACCCACATCTCTGTCTGCAAAGAGAAACCCAAAGCTCCCCACATGGCCACAGGTGTATAAACCAGAGCTGGTGGTGGTCAGCATCACCTCTGTGTCCTCTGCCATGACACACTGCCAGGCTGTACCTTTCTGAGAAGGATCAGTTGGATGTGTCGGTCTCTGGAGCACTAATGATGACTGCCAGGCTGCTCAATGGCCCTTATCTTGTGAGAGCTGGGTGTCAGCCTGGACACTTCTCCTTTCCACAGTAACCAGTGTGGCTGGGAGAGGAAGTCCCTAAATTTAAGAGGGGCATTAAACAGCAATGCCTGCTTTGCAGAAGGGACTGAACCGTAACATGGACAGAAGGGCATGGCTGCTCAACCTCTGCTCAGTGGTGAAGCTCTTACCTGGCAGTAGCTGGTGGTCGGTTCATCATCAGAAGTGGAGTTCTTCTCTTCTTCCATGCTGTGCCCTGGGCTCTCTGCGTCCCTCCTCTTTGAAGGGTGGAGCCAGGGATTATTTTCAGACTCCTGTCCCTCTGTGTCTCCATCTTCTGTACCATCAGCAACCCCATTCTCCCTGCTTATCTCCTCTTCTTTCCCAAGCTCGTTTTGGCTCAAGGAAGAACTGGGCACAATTGGGTCACCAAACTCCTTCTTATGCAACAGCTGCCTCTGAGCCTGCTTCAGGCTCTTCTGATAAACCTCCAGCTGACACAAGATGACTTTGGTGTACTCGTTGGGGTCCACCCCTTTGGGGCAGAAGGGGATGCCCCAATAATAGTGCACTGTGTCTCTTGCCTCCTCCTGTTTGTGCTTCTCCTCCACCACAGTCAGCATGCAAAGATCTGGGGTACTGCCAGACCCCTCGTTCTGCTGTGCTTGCTCTGTGGCAACACAGACCTTGGCAGTGTGCCCAGGCTGTGAGATCTGTTTGGTACCTGCTCCTCCACCACTCCTCCTGGGGCTGTCACACTGTTCTGTGGTGCTGCTCCTCCAGAGTGTGGCTGAGCTCCCAGCACCAGCCTCTCCCACAGAATGGCCAGTGCAGGGCAGGAGCTGCTCTTTTGGTTCGTGGCCTGCTGCTTCAGAAGAGCTGGAGGGGCTGGTGAACAGTCTCCGAGGTGTCAGTCGCCAGGATCCTCCTGAAGCCACCCTGCCAAAGGTGGGACTCAAAGACGTGAAGTCCTCTCCCAGAGTGCTGGGTAACACGTTACTTGAATCACTTTTTGCTGGTGAGGAAGACTTTTCACTTGACCTTGTCACTGGCTGGCCCTTCCCCGGAGACACGATTATGCTGGATACTAGAGAGCTTTCAACGATTTCCTGGCTTAACCTCCTCAACACTACCAAGGGGCTCCGGGCGACATCCATCTGTCCATTCCCATCAGCTCTGGAGCTCTGTGAGTGGGAGCTGCAGTCAGAGGGAGGGGTGTCAGGGCAGAATGCCAGGCCTCCCAGGATCTCAGAGCCTTCTTTCTCAGCAGGCTGGCTTTGGCCCTGTGAATCTAGTGCTTCCACTGACAGCTGAGGAGATGCAGTCGACGAGTCTGAGGGCTGGCAGCTCTGAAAAACAAAAGGTTCACTCTCCTACACACGTGTTCTCCATCAGCACAGCACAACCAAGGGTTCCCCCAGCATGCTGGCAGCCATCATCTGGACTGCAGATCCCCCTATCCCAAATAAGAACTCTGTACCCCAAAACAGGGACAGCTGGGGTTAGACTTCAAGTCTCTCTCACAAGGTAGGAATAGTACAAAGCAACTACTCTGTAGCTGCTGCCATTCCAGTTTGTGCTGGGAATATCCATGCCCCCCAGTAAAACTTTATTTTGTGCAGCATGGCAAAACAAGCACAGACAGCAATGTTGCTAAAGAACCCTAGTGAGCCTCTTCACAGAAGTGCACTTACACTAAGGCTCTCAGCAATGGCCTTCCTCAAGAGCTCCTCCTCTTCCTCTTCCTGACAGTTCACTTCTCTAGCCTCTTGCTCACTCATTTTCAGGGCCAGTGCAAATTGTTCCTCTTCAGTCATCTCTACAGCAGAAGAAACAGGATAATGTCAAGTCACAGCTGCAGGTGTATGTAAACACTCAGTGAATATCCAGCACGTAGGGAGAAACGGGTGAGTCCCACCTTCCCAGGAGGAATGCAGTGAAAATAATGTAAACCTCAGCTGTCCTGGAAAGGTGTCAACAAAACTGGAGCAGGCAACACTAAATGAGAAAGGTAATTCAGGTCAGGAACTTCACCTCAGGTTTCTACAGCAATCTAAGCTCCCATTCCCTGAGTATATTAACTGCAACATGACATTTTATTTGCCATCAAACAACAAAACACTGCAGCTGCAGAATGCATGTTCAAGGAGAGAGGAAAAGGACAGATTTCTAAAGTGTGCTCATTTTTGCATTGGACAGGCTCAGCAGCAAGGTAGGACAAACAACACATCTTTAAGACACTTTTTTACTAACTGAATAGCACACCTCACTGTCTTCTGACACAGATACCTGCAATACCACAGGAGACCTATCCAAGAGAAAAAGAGCTACATGATTTTTACCCCGAGCCTCAGGTGGAAAGCTCTGTGGAGGATAATGTTATTTGCTTGGTGGTATTATAGAGGATATTTCACATGCATACATCCCCCTTCTGCTCACATCACCACTCCACTGCATCACTAAGTCAGTCATGCATGGGAAACAGGTTTCCTACAGTTGTAACTGCTATTTCAGCAGAAAATTTATTCCTGAATTATTCCTCGCTCCAATCAAACCAAAAGTCTAGACTGGCTATGTAGAAACAAAGCAGTTAGTTACTTTGGAAAACACTTATTTACTTAGATTCAATCCAACACTTTCACTCTGCTTAAAATATACAATGCCTGCAGAATGGAGTGCAGCTTGAAAAACAACTCAACAGCACTCTCAGGAGCTGAAAAAAATACATCATCTCACTTGAAACAAATTGACAGATTTCCTTCAGAACCCGCTCCCTCCTCCAGGCAGAATCCTGCACGCGCCATCTCATGCATGAACCAAAGGACGGGCTACATCATCTTTGAGCTGTGCCATTTGAACAGGGAGGCTGCCCAAGCACAAAACCTGCCTCCACTGCAGCCAGCTCCACAGACAGGCGTTTCCTCGGGTAAAGATGCATTCACAAGTTGCAGGCTCCCATTTTCTATCCCATCCTCTCCCGAGCAGCTGCCACCCAAACACAGCAGTGCAGCCGTGCTCTGGCCGTACCGCAGCCTGTCCATGACAGCTCTGCTGCAACCAGGAGCATCCACGGAGCAAAGCTTCACTCTGCCCTCCCCCCAGCTCCTGGATGATGGCAGCCTCCTGCTCCCCCACACAAGCAGGATCTGAAGCATTTTTGGACTGATTATCTTCAGACTCCTTTATGTGTCCTACTAAAACAGCACTTAGCTTCATGTTGTTGGTTTGGGGTGGAGCGGGGGATAATTCCTTTGAAAATTAAGAAAGGGGTTGAAGGGAAAGCAGACTGCAATGCTCTCAGGGCTCGTGGGGATCTTTTGTCCTTGGACAAAGTCACTCTAAGATGTTACAGCCAGGAGGGACCAGGGCAAAAAAAAAAAAAAAAAAGCATTCCTTAATGGAAAGCACAGTCCAGTGTATGGAGAAAGCTCCCAGCCCCAAGAACAGCAGCATTAAACAGCATATCACAGTCAATTAGGTTGGAAAACACCACTGAGATCGAGTCCAACCTTTGACCAATCACCACGGTGTCATCCAGACCATAGCACTTACTGCTACATACAGTCTTTCTTTTCCCACAACACCAAACACCTTCCAAGCATTCAGAAAGTGTGTACTGATTTGTTTTCCTGCTCAAACCATCACAGCAATCAGGCTAGATCCTGCAAACTCATGTGCAGGAAAACTGGTGCACATGATCAGCACCCTGCAACACACGACTTTCCACGTGCTTCAACAGGGGCCTGAACATTTGCCAGTTCAGGCTATCAACATCCATGAAGCTTAATAAAAAGAAACATTTTTTGGCGAGTTACTGCTGTACATTTTGTTTTCTTCTCCCTCCCTGGCACAGCAATTTTCCCTCTGGGGACAGGGAATGTGCCAGACAAATGCTGCCTCTGGCAAAGAAACCAGTGACAAACAAGATGCACTTAGTGCACGTTCCAGCTGAGTAGGTGCTCTGGAGATGGGTAAAACTCGAGTTTAAATCCACCTGGCATTACTGTGGGGAGAGCAAAGAGCAGCTCTGCTCATGCCTTCCAGCAGACCTGACCTGCTTTAAGTGAAGCTGACGGGTATTTCATGCTCCAGGACTGATCACTTCTCAGCACTGTGTGTTTTATTAAACTTGATGCTGATTGCAGCTGTCATAATTTATGATGATTAGAAACCCAGAGCGCTGCGTTAGCCCCCGACCAATGTGTGCAAACAGAGCTGGGGAGAGAGCTCAGAGTGCGTGGTGGGGCTCCACAGATCCCGGGAGAAGCAAACCCTCTCCATCTGGACCGATGCTCAGCTCACTCTCATCACTCTCCTGCCTTGCAGGAGCCCGTTCCGGCACTGGGAACTCGGCATCTCACACTCCAAAATCATCTCATCACAGGTCCATCCCAACGCGGCAGGAAATCCCAGCGCCCCTCTGGGGACCAGGGCATCCAAGAGACCCGCAGATGGCAAGGAGGGGTCACGGAGAAACGTTTTTAAGATACGCAGCCCTAAACAAATTAAACCATTTCAGAGCCTTTTTAAATGCTAATACGGCAATTTGCAAAGTGATTTATGTTCCATTTTGACATTTGCAAAGTGAATTAGATGCAAAACCCCCCTAGTTGTAGTTATAACACTTACTAATAAGAGATTTACTCAAAAACAACAGAAATGCGGGATCTCAGTATTTTTACATATCCAAAGTGCAATTACAATAAAAACATTCAAATGTGCTTTAAAGCACTGTCTTCCTCTGGAAAAAGAGAGAGACTTCTTTAGGTTTTATATTTCCATTTATCCTGTCAGGATGAAACGTCACAGATATATTTTAGTTATGGCTCTAGGTTAAAATGAATAAAACCACAACAAAGCAAAAAAGGGAGGATACGCTTTATAAAGAGCGCCTGCCAATATCCGAAATTTTCCAGTTTTGAGGAGAAAGAACTTGCTCTACCCAGAAGCACCCAATCTTTACAAAAGACCAATTTGCCTTGCAATTCAAAGAATTTATTTAAAGACACTGGGAAAAATAATTACTACTTCAAATCTTAATTTGCCTAAAAGCAAACACCAAAAGTCTAATTATAGCTTCCCACAAATGAGAACAGCCCACCATCACACGTGCCTAAATAAGCCCCTGCTCTCCGACCGTGCGGTGCCAGACACCCCCAAACTCAGATGAGCACACTAAGCAACAAAAAAAGGCAGATTTTGCCCCAGGAAAAGAAAAACTATTATTAATAATTTCAACATCTAGAAACACAGCAGAACTCCTCCATTATACAACGTCTGGAGAGCCAGCCCTGTCTCCTGTGGATTTTCTGGAGCATACTGAACACCTTTTGCACAGCACCAGCTCCTGAAACCCTACATGTTCAATGATGCAACGAGGACATCCAACTTCAGCAGATCCCTGCTCTTAGCACCATATGCTTGGTCACATTTTAGTGGCATCTCCAAGGGGGGTTTCAGCTTTAATTTGGTGTTCTGTTTCCTTTGGGAGAAAAGGATAAGAAAAAGAATTCTTTCCCAACTCTGACTTTGCTATCTTACTTGTTCAACACAGACATGCACAGTGGGTTGCAGCTCCCACAAAGAGCTGGGCTGTTCTGTGCTATGGCCTTAGGCCTCTATTAAAAACAATTTCATTCACACAGGCCCTGTGAGGACTGACAAGCCCAACTGATGCTGCTTGCGGAGCACTGCCGTGCTCCATTTTGTTCAGTGATTGCTTTGGGTTTTGCAGGAGGCAACATTTCTCCCATTTTAAAAAGTCCTGAATTTTATGTGCTGGATGGACCACTGCCTCACAGAGCACAGGAACATGAGTGGGGACCCTCTGGGGCCTGGCTGCTGTAACATGTGGGGCTGAACAGGGAGCAGAGGGATGCTGGCCACGCTCAGTGGGCCCTTCTGCCTGTTCATCAGAATATGAGCAGGAACATCCCAGCCTTTAGCATCTGCTCACAGATTTATCGTCCATGAATGCATTTAATCCCTTATTAAAGCTCTTGATTCTGACCTCTCCGCAACCTCCAGTGACACAAACTTCCAGGAGTTCACCCCATGCTGTGTGAAGCATTAGTGTCCTTCACCCGTTTTAAACCTGTCTATTCCTTGCTATTTCCACTGATACACCCCAGGAGCTGGTAAACAACAGCTCTGTGCTCAGCTGAGGCATTGCCTTCCCGATGGGAACTTTGATCCCACCTTTCTCTCCTAACAAAGCAGCCCCAAGCTTTCCAGACTCTCCTCACCAGGCAGCTGTTCTACCCCTTCATGACTCGGGCTGCCCTTCTCTGGATGCACCACTGTGTCCTTGCTAAGCAGAGGCCAGAAGTGCTCACAGCGCTGTGACAAGGGTGCACCAACACTTTATATAACAGCAAAATGACATCAACCAAATCCCTGGCTCTTAACACCCTTCCTTATGATGCCCAATGCTGCTGGTGCTCTGGCAGCCCCCACACTGTGAGCTGATGATTTCAGAGAACTGTCAGCTGCGACTCAGATCCTTCCTGAGCAGCAGCTGTCGGGTCAGAGCACTGTGATGTTTCAGGGACAGACAGGAGCAGAGGGGCCTGGACAGGAAAGCAGTTTGTGACTGACGGCGCTTTCACATCAGCCTCAGACAGTTTTGAACCCGGTGAGGTACCAACACCCTCGCACGCTTATTTTGGAAGTGCAAAATGTAACCCTGTGAAGGGTCTTTTCTGCATCCCCAGCCATGTCACGGCCTTTCTGCAAGGGAAATCATCTCTAACACAATCAGCAGAAGCTGTTCAGCACCAGACAATTTCCCCAGCCCCACAATCGAGACATACGTGCAATTTTTCTTTTAGCAGCAAACTTCATTCGATCCAGCTGTTTTGTTCTCTTCTTTTGCAAGCCACTCTCTTCCTTTGACTCCTGCTGCAATGGAAAAGAACATGGTGAGTGCATGCAATATGTAAGAAATACTACCAGCCCCCTCCCCCCAGCTACTTAGACACAAACATTGGTTCAAGAACAAGCATCTATTTGCGTGAAATTTGAATTTCAAACGTAATTCAAACACATTCTGTAACTATTAAAAGCTGTGTGATAAGCATAACGAGCAAAAAGAGTTACAGACTGACATAAACAGAGAAGTAGGAGAGACAATAGACTTCATGCCAGTCACCACCATGCACTGCACCTGCTACCCATGATTTTAGAGAGAATTTGTTTGGCCTTGCTAAAACATTGATATTTGTAAGCACTCAAAAGAGAAAACCAGAACCTTTTTATAACTGAGCATCACACACCTGCAAGCCAGGACTGTTTCCTGCCCTGCAGCTTCTAGAGCTATGCCCAGGCAATTTCAGGTGATCCAATCTAGAATCCCTACCCATTTTTGGAGACCCACACCAATGCACCCCAAGGGCAGGAGGGTCAGCTGCACTTCCTCCTCCTGCTATTCTCTCATTGTATTCATAGAATCAAAGAATGGTTTGAGTTGGAATAGACTTTAAAGATCATCTCATTTCAGCTCTGCCATGGGCAAGGACACCTTCCATGAGATCAGGGTGCTCAGAGCACCATCCAGCCTGACCTTGAACACTTTGAGGGGCATTCACATCTTCCATGGCCAGTATTGCCATAAGTGTTTCATTTTTGAAACTTGAATACTTAAGAAACTTGTTGTCTCAAGGCTCCCTGGAGCTATACTCCCACGAACAACTTAAATGTGTGCTGCTTTAAGCACAAGGACTGCAGCACAAATGGGCATGACACAAATTTCTGCAAGTTGCTGTCCTAACAGCTTAGGCGAGGGCACACACATTACCCAAGGCTGGCACTGGACCCCTTCCAATTTGTCTCTAAATCAGGGAGGATTAGAATCAAATCCAGTGTTTCAGGCAGAGACCCACGCCTGGGCAGGATGGGCTTTGCAGGGCTCCCTCTGCAGCTACATGGAGTTTTGCTGCCCATGAGACACACAGGCCACATGCTTGGGCCTCATTCCACCTCCTGTGCCAAGAGGAGGGCTCAAGGAGGGGCACATGGCTTGGGCTACTTTAACACAAACAGATACTGTGATTATTTTCGAGTGTCATCCATTTCTTTTGCCCTTTGCCCATGTTTCTGAACATGTGAAGTCCTTCAGACTGCTCCTGTGTGCTGAGTTTTGTTGAAGACATCTCTGGTTTTAGTGTTATCTGTAGATTTTATTAATCTATATACACCACTTGCTCCCTCTTACAGATCATTAATGAGGATGTTAAAAGACACACAGACCTAATATTGATCCTCTTGGCCTCAGCTTTATAGCTCCCTCAGATGAGCCTCTCCTTTGTTCATCACCAGCTCTTACTGACAGTCTTCTAGCAGGATTTCAATCCAGGAATGCTGCTATCTAGACCAAATTAAATTATTTATCCAACTAAGATTTTGCAAGACATACTATTAGGTGGTTTCCTGAAACCTTAACACATTACAGCTTTTATATGCCCTACATCATTCCTCACTTCCACTGACTTAAGAATCACCTCACAACACAGCAGCAATCATGCTCAGCAAGTCCGCACACACTCATGCTTGTGCCTGAGGGTTTTTTCTGTGAGTGATTCCTTCTCTTCCCCACACAGACTGATTTAGATACCCCTTTCCAAGAGCTGCTACTGTGTCTCCAAAAGGCTGTTTCACATCCAGGGTCTCTCTTCCTAGGAGATGGAGCCTAAGCTCCTGCTCAGGAGGTGAAATCCTCTCTCTTCCAGGGATCTGGCATCGCGCCCCTCTCCACAGTTTTCCATAAACCATAGGATCTCCCACCCCAAACTGCCCTGCCTTGGTCTGCAGCAGCAGCCCCATGCTGACCTCAAGGGCTGCTCAGGGGACAGGGAACAGCCCGTGGGATGACACCAGGATTGCACCAGGATTATGTGCTGGAGGAGGTTCAGCAATAGCTCTCCTGCCCTCCCCCAAAACCCTGCCTAACAATGCTAAACCCAGCTCAGCTTAAAACAGGGGCAATTTAATCCTAACAGGCTCTGTAAATCCCCAGCTCTTCTCTCTAGGCATCAATCTTCCCCTCATCACTCCTGCACTTGCTGGAAGGTCAACTCTGACACTCTCATCTGCAGCTCTCTTCCAGGGCACGGATGTGATTTATGAGCACACCAAACTTTCCGCGGCTCTGAGTGCCTGCTCTGTGCACAGAGACACTTACAACACACACCACGGGACAACGTGGGGCTCCAACACCTCCAGGGCTTCCAAGGGGAGCAGAGTGCCCAGCGCCGGACGCGCTGCCCGGATCCACGGCACAGCCAAGTACGTGCCCTGGTTCCTTGTCCTGAAGAATCCCAACGTTTACATCAGTGGCAGGAGCGAAATTATTGCAGGACACATGTTGTACGAAGCTCATACATTGGAGGAAGATGTTTAAATTGCTCAGCAGCATTCTACTGAACAGCCACGGTACAGTGAACCGCTGAAGCAAATCCAATTAATCCTGATGGGCCAAAATATATACACACATCTCAATTCCAAGAATTCTTAAATCTTCTTTATTTTTAAACCCAGAAAATAAAGCATACCTTTTAATTAGGATTTATGGCTGTTTGTACCTCTGCTGGGAGAGAGCCCCACAGGCCCCAGAGTGCTCTGTATAAATGCAGGAGGGGATGGTAGAAACAAAAGGGGCCAAGAAAATTCAGAGAAGACAACAGGGCTTGCTCCTCCTGACCCAACCTTTTAATGCTCATCTATCTACAAGGATAATAGGAACTCAAGGGGCCTCTCAACCAGCTGCCTTTCTAATAAGATCACTAGTCCAAAAATAATCTTAATCAATTAAAATATTCCCAAACTGCAGCCAATACTCTTAGTTACAAGGTCATCTCCAATACACATATCTTCCAAGGGAAACTAATTATTATAGTGGAAGCAAGGTAGGAACTGCACACCTCTGCTCAGTGCCAGCCAGCAGAGCATCCCTCCTCCTTTGCTGTCAATTCAAGGCATAATGGCCAGAAGAACCAAATTCTCTTCCTGTGCATCAGGTTCTGCACTTTAATTTATGATGCTCTCTTATGAGCAATTTCACCGTCAGCATTGTACACAGATGAAGAAATACACAGGTTTCCAAAGCCTTCCACACATTTAGTGGAAGGCAGACACTATTCTTCTTCCTTGTTTTTGTAACCTGTTTGGTTTCACCAGACAGCAGGAAATCAAATTCCCATTTTAAAAATGCTTTTGCACATGCTTAAAGAGAACCTGACTCTGCCAGCAGAAACAGATACAGCTCCACTCATTTCTAAAAGCCCATAAATGGAAGCCAGTAGCCAGCATCCCACATCCTGCTCCCTCAAATCCACATGATAAACCACAGAAATCAGCTTCTACTGACTCAGGGAAGAAAAGGCTACAGCAGAATGTCTCCACCCCTAACAGTGCAGACTGCAAAGTCAAAAGGTCTGGGTAATTTTACTGCTCAACAGCAGTTGGGACCATCTAACAATAGGGCACAGCCAAACAGCACACATCCTGCATGGGAAATATGCAGATGAAAACCAGACTAATTTATTTTTAAAAGCCAATTAGATGTTGGAATTACCATGTTTGGCTCTTGCCAAGGCTGCTGCTGAAATTAATATCACACCCTACTTTATTAGTCTCTGACTTCAGTTCAGAATCTGTTTCAGCTTTGCTCTTTCAGCTCATTAAAACAAACCTGCTGGAAGTGGAGATGAACAACAAGACACAATGGTGCTCATGCCAGGATATGCAGTTCCTGACACAGGGAGAGAGGACTCTGTAGGAAAAATGGCTTTTACTGGGCTGTGAGGAGCCTGGATTCAGCTCAATCTGATTTTCAACAAGTGAGCTCAGCAGAGCCATGAAGCCTCCTCCAGAACCAATTCCCATTGCATTCTCCTCTGGGAGATGGAGGCACTGGGTCCCTTGGCACCAGCAGAGCCCTGGAGACAGCAGAGCACTGCAGCAATGCTCCCACGTGGCTCAGCTTCGCTCCGATGGGCAGTGGTGTGAGGTGGCGTCCTGGGATTAAGTTATTTTTATTCCTATTAGCTGGTGCAGTGCTGTTTTGGATTTAGTACAAGAGTAATGTTGATGGCACACCAATGGTTTAGCTGGTGCCAAGCAGTGCTTACTCTAAATCAAGGACTTCTGGGTTTCCTGTGCTCTGACAGTGAGCAGGTGCACAAGGAGCTGGGGGAACTGGGCAAAGGGATATTCCACAGCACAGAACCTCATGCCCAGAGTATAAACAGGGGGAACTGCCTGGGAGACAGAGATTGATGCTCAGGGACTGGGTGGGCATTGGTCAGTGGGTGGTGAGCAACTGCATTGTGGCACTGGTTTCTCTTGGGTTTTACTCACAGAATCATGGAAAGGTTTGGGTTAGAAGGGACCTTAAAGATTTTCTCATTCCAACCCTCCTGTCCTGAGCACTTCCTACAAGACCAGGTTGCTCACTGCCTGGCCTTGAACACTGCCAGGGATGAGGCATCCACAGCCTCTCTGGGCATCCTGCTGTAGTGCTGCACAACCCACACAGTAAAGAATTTCCTCCATATATCTAACCTAAATTTCTCCCCTTTCAGTTTGAACCCATTCCTCCTTGTCCTATCACTACAGTTCCGGATGAAAAGCAGTTGTCTCTCCCTTCTTTTCATTACAATTATTCTTGATATTATCATTAGGAATATTAATAGTATAATTATATTTTATCTTGTTTCAATTATTAAGCTGTTCTTATCTCAACCCACGAGATTTTTTTTTCCCCCCCACAATTCTCTTCCTTACCATGGGGTGGGAATGAGCAAGCAGCTGCCTGCTACTTAGCTTCTGGATGGGATTAAACTATGACAGGTGGGCACTGCCATCCTGGCTGTGACATTTCCAGTGCTGTCTTCTCCATAGCAAGATGTCCCTCAGGCCATGCCTAGTCCTGGGGTAAGTGTCCACTGTCACAGAAAATGGAAACAGGATAGGGCAGTGGCTGGGTATTAGCCAGTGCCTAAACACACCTCCCTCTGCACCACAGCCAAAATCTGATCTTAACATCAACACATGCTGCTGATTACCCCGACTGTGAGTATCTCCAAACACAGGAACACTCAGGCAAGGGGATGTTCCACACTGAAGGGAAGACAGGCCGTGCAGAAATAGATGGCACCATCACCCTGGAGTCTTGTCATATGTTCCCCGAGGGCTGGCAGAGCTGATGGATCTGGCAGAAAGAGCTTGTGAGACTTGATGCCAACTTTATAAATGCAGGCAGGTACTCTCAGAGCTCCCAAAGGATCTATCCAAGCAAAAGACCCTTCCAAAAGGTCCCAGACCAGATCAGCAGCATGTGAGGATCAACTGCACTAAAGGCTGCAGATCAGTCTAACAGGTCAGCACAACTTTTGGGCTGTGCTCAGAGCTCATGCTTGGCCAGGCCCTGTGCTGAGGAACAATCATCTTGAAGACATGGCTTCAGGGGTCAGACCAACAGACCAATGCAAGCATGAGGTTCAGGAGACTAGGACTTGTCATGCTCAGAGTGAGCATTGTTGGGCACTACTTGAAATACTGTGTATTTGTGAATGAACATCCATCTTCTGGCACAGGCAACCAATTCCCTATGGGATTAAACAGCCAAGGGAGATGGGAACCACTCTACACATTCAGCGTGTCTGCATTTTCAGAGACACAGTCTGCACAAAGAAGGTCATCTCCTCTGGTTTCCACAGAGCCAGAGAGACTGTTCTTATCTTGTCTGACCGTTTCCAGAAAAAGATAAGTGGTCCCCGAATCCAGGATTATATATAGCAGAGATCAGAAAGCCTCACGTCCAGAAAACTTTTTTCTGATGCAGCTCTGCAGATGCCACAGCACAGACATGAGCAAAGAAAGGGAACTTGGCAAAATAACATGGATGAGCTTGATAATCCAGCATGACTGAAAAATTCCTGGGAGAGGCAGTCTGCCAAAGATCATCAAAAGTGAGAAGCTGGAGGCTTTCCAGGTGCAGCTGCTACAAGATCTGCTGGTCTGGAAGCAGAACTAGGGACTTGTTCTATAGATACCTGCCAAGAGACTGCCAAGGAAGAAAGCCATCAAATCAATGATGCCCAAATTGTCCTTGTAGCTTTTGATTCATAAGGAACCATGTCCTAACAGATGCAAGATTAATTGAGAATATATTGTTCTCTAAAATTGCTATTGATCTGAGCTTCCCACACCTCTTTTGAACACACAACAAGGTCTTACCAGTGCAAGAACAACAGTTACAATGTCCAAAATTGAAATTCAACTTGATGTACACAGAAAAGCTGAGACAGTTACAGAAGGCAGACAGTTATTTTTTTTGAGATCCCAAGTAAACCAGTTTTGCGTTTGATTTCGCAGAAAACAACACGACAAGAGACTGTGGCACTGGATCTGGAAGCTGATGACTCACAGAAAGAGACTGAACTGAATAAATCCACTCATTCAACTGACTGAACTGTTGTCACTAAAACAGAACCTAATTGGCTCTTTAACGGCCTCTCTGAGCATATCCTTTTCTGTAATATGACCGATTATGCCATCAGAATTTATTGTTTATAGACAAACTTACAGAACAGTGAGGGAGCCTAACCTTTTTATAGATGTATTTTAAGAGACGTTTGTTTCCTCTTTTTCAGATACGTGCACATTGAGATGAATAATTGCAGACAATAACAGGTCCTGATCTTTTATGTACTGCAGCAGCTCTTATAGCTGCTGATTTCTTTTTTCCTTATAGGTTTCACAATAAAGGCCAGTGATGCAGCAGACATCTGAAGTTAACTTAGCATATTGCAGAGCTAAGGGTTTAACCCCACTGAACTATTACTGCCATATGTTCCATTTCTTTCAGGGAATTTCCCAATGGGAAAGAACTCAGACAATGTGAAGAAAAAACATCCAATATCGTTTGCCCTACAGCTTCTTACTGTTTATTTCTAGTGATTTTCTCCTCCTCACATGATAATCGCCTTATTGGAGAGCAGCACGCTGCAGATGTGGGAGCAAAAGGGACCTGATTTAAGATCTACAGCTTGAGAGTGAACTGAAATGCTTTTGAAAATGGTGGAATTACAAAAAGCAGCTTAGGATCCCCAATCACCAGCAAGACAGAGAAAAGCCATAAGAGTTGCACATAAAGAAACCTGATTGTAGTAATTTCCTCTCGTGTACCTCGCTCAGTCAGGCACAGGTTCTGAGGGCTCTGGGCTTCCCCCAGGCAGGAGTTCCCGTGCTCATGCCGTCATCGTGTAACCAACACAGACATTTCCATCTCGAGGGTAATGCTGATGTGCATAAGCTGACTCTGGGGATCAGGGATCTGAGCCTTGATGCCTTAGCCAGGCACTCCCACACCACATGCACCTTTACACCCTTTGGAGCTGGGTTACAAACTCAGGCTCCTGTAATTCAGAATCAGTTTACCAGACATTGCCTGTCTCTGAGCTACTCACAAGCCTGAGTTCTGAATCATTTTCTTATCTATTTGCACATAATACAGAATCATGTTGCTAAGGTTTAGCTGGAAATCAATCAAATAAAAATTATGAAAAAAAAGATTTGTAAAGGGATTGAGGAAAGGTTACTTTTAAATTACATTTCAGATTCAGTTCTGAGAGGATTTGGTTATCAAATCCCAGACTCATAACTCACCCTCACGAAGCACACCATTCATTTCCTAGTCAAATAGGATTTGATTCATAGCATATGTAAGAAAAGGAATGGCACAAGCCCCTCTGTGCAAAGCCTGACCCCAGCACAACAGCCAGGGCTGCTCTGGCACTGTCCTGCAGCAGCAGGGCCCAGCCCAGGCTCTGGGTACCCCAAACGCATCACTGACCTCTCCATCGCTGTCAGATATAACAATAAATGCATCCACAAAACTGCGCTTCCTCTTGGCATTGGCTGGGTTCCTCTTCTCTTCCTCCTCTTCCTCTTCATCCTGACCTCGAGACTCCAGGCCCTCTGCAGGCTTCTTCCTCCTCGGCATCCTTCACTCTGAAACAGAGGGAAAGATTAAAAGCCATTTGTTTCCTTCTGATTTAGATTTCCCCTAACACTTTTTTTTTTTTTTTTTTTTGCTATTTTTAGGCAAAATACCCCAGGCACTGAAACCTTATTACAAAGCGTGGTGGATTTAGTGTTACTGGGAGCCACATGCACCAGTCACTACTCATCTAGTTAAGAACACTTTATTACAGCTGATTGCTAAAAAGGGGTTTCAGGGGAACAGCAACACAGAGCAAAGCCACTCTGAATGCCTTGTTTCAAAACAATGAGGCTTTCCTCTAAAAACCCATCAGCAAACTCCTCCACAGCATCACTTCACAGCGGGTCTCCCACCCTCCAACACAACCTCCCCTCCTGAGTCCCACATCTTGACCAAAACAAACCAGGCTGTGGCAGTGGGTCAAGCTGACATTTGCACACCAGACCAAGAAGCCACCACAGCACAGCCCTTTTTCTGCTTTTGTATTTGACAAAATCAGGGGGAAAGGCATTGTGAGTTCAATGATGCCGTCCTGCCGCCTGCACAGCTCAGTGCATGGCTGCTCCAGCACTATAGACAGGGAAAACACAGGCAATGGCAGCAGGCAGGCTGGAAACAAGACAACAGGTTTATCTGGCAGTATGGGTTTCTCAATGAGCAGCAGCCTCCGGAAGAACTCCATCCAGACATGCCCAAACCATCCGTATTAACGAAGGCACTTAAAGAGCAGCCAGCAACCTGCTGAGTGTTATTAGTGCAAACCTGAGTGCATGGAACAACTGAGAGCAGGTGCCCACACAATGCAAACTGGTACTTCAGCCTCCCTTCCCCTGGCAGCCCACAGACTGATGGAGAGGGATGCACAGCAAGCATTAGCTGCCTGGGTCCAAAGGAGCTCAGAGGAGAGGATTGGGAAGAGGTCTCAGTAAAGGAAAGCAGCGGGATGGCACAGAGTTAAATCACCCTTTCCTGCCTATGCTTGCTGTTTGCCTGGTAGCTCAACAATAAAATTCAGTGCTTCTTGAACTGTGATGTAAAAGAGCCTTACAAAGCAGGCTGAGCATGACCAGCTCTGCTGAAGTTCAATTAAACATGTGCAGACAGAGGCTGAACAACAAGCCCCTCGTTCCACATCAGGGAACAGCAAAGCTGGAAATGCAAGTTAAGTTGGCCGCTTCTCAGACCAGTGTCCTTCCACAGAATCACTCTGCCTTGCTTCAAGATCACTGAAATAGCTCAGATGTGTGTGGAGATCTAAAATAAGAGCAAGAGAAGATGCAACAGAAACCCTACATCACCCAGGATAGAGCCAAACCCTTCTCTGTAACACTACAAAATTGCAAACAATCACTGCATAGAGCAACACTAAGGGAGGCCAAAATCCCCATCAGTGCCGAGAACAGCAGCGCATTGCTCCATCTACAGTCCGAGCAGCAAGGTGAGGAATAACCACGCTCCCTCCCCACGATCTGCAGCCTTCCTTCTGCAAATACATGCACACACACGCCCAGAGACAAAAGGCGATTATCCTGGTGAGTCATGATTTGCACCAAAGGTTTGCTGAGCCCTCTGAAAGCAGAACGTTGCACAAATGGGCAGTCACGGCGCCAAAGTGACTGCAAGGACCTCTGCAGTCCTCCAGTGTTGGTCTGCTGAGGAATCATTGAACGGTTTGGGTTGAAAGGGATGTTAAAGATCATCTCATTCCAAACCCCTGCCATGGGCAGGGACAGCTTCCACTATGCCAGCTTGCTCCAAGCCCTCTTCTACCCGGCCTTGGATGCTTCCAGGGATGGGGAAGCCACAGCTTCTCTGTGCCACTGTCTCACAATTCTCACAGGGAAAAATTTCTTCCGAATATCTAATTTAATCCTTCTCTCTGTCAGTTTGGAGCCATTAAAGGAAGGGAAAATAAAAACAAGCACTCCTGTTGGTGAAGCACTGGCTCTTGAGAAACAAAGCTGTTCAGCTCCAGCTAAGCTGAACTCAGTGCTGTTGGAATATCCTCACTATATATTTTCCATTTTTTTATCTTTTGCTCCAAATGGTTTCTTTGCCCTCCCTGCTCAGGGAGATGAGCCAAGCCTCACACCCAGCTGCTGTGAGCTGCCCCCACGAAGCACATCCATGGTGGTGGAGAATGTTACCTTATCTTTGGAAAACCACTCCCTCATATGCCATAAGGAGCACTGAAGGGCCCACACAGGGTCACTGAGGCTTTGGAGAGGCAGCCTATAAACCCTATTAGCCTCACAACAAAAGCAACAGCAACAAACAACTGCTGTGCTGCTTTTTTTTTTTTTTTTTAAATCCATGCTGGTATCACCATCACTCCTCTGACTCTGCGATACATCTTCTCCTCGGTGCTCTGTGCTAAATAAGAGATCACTGAGAAATATCAGCTGAAGTTATGATGAGTCACCTACCTTCAACATTTAAAGGATAGAAAAGAGGAGATGTAAGAGATGTAACCACACAACTCCCACAACACTTCTGAAATTGAAGGGACTTGTGGCAAAGAGAGTCTCTGAAAATGTAACTAAGGGAACAAGACAAGTAAGAGATCACTCGTAGCTGTGCTAGTCTGATGCTGTGAGTAGGAGAGCAGTAATAGCTTTTATTAGACAAGATGGTGTAGCTAAGGGAAGACAACATGCAGCAGAGCAGAGACCTTCTCTTCAGGAAGTGAAGTTGAGCATATTTTGCTTTTAGCACTCTTGGAAAGGATAGTTGTGAGTGCCTAAGGGGAAGATACCTGCTTTCAGGCCCAGGAAAAAAAAAAAAAAAAAAAAAAAAAAAAAAAAAAGCCAGAGACTGAATTATCTAAAATTACCTTTGCAGTCCACTTTGCAGACTCATTTTGCAGTTATCCAGATTTTTTTCCAACTCTGAATTTAAGAGAATTTCTTTGTAAATGCACTGACAGCAAAGGTGACCTCCTGACAAGGAATTCGCACATGCCACGCTTCTCCAGCCACATTTTTAGGGATATCCTTGAAGATCCCCAACTTGTGATTATTTGTCATTTTCCCTCTCATCTATCATTTTGATGAATCAGAAAGCAATTACCGGCAGAATAATTCTAAATCTTGACACTGCAGCTACAGACCTGCCAAGCTGTGACAGCTTGAAAAATGCTCGAAAAAACCAAGCCAAAAAAAATGAATGACTCTCATCCCCGGATGAGTTCCTGAGTGGTTGGAGACACAGGCTGTCGCTTTGTAAACAACTCCCCCCCACCTCGGGAAGCAGAGCACGCTTCCATGGAAATATCATCCCCAGACCCTCGGCTCGACCCAGCACGCAGAGCCCAGCTGATGCTCCGTGAGCAGGACACGAGGGCTGGCAGCGCCCTGGGGAGAGAGAAATTGTTTAAAGGATTGATCCGTTTACAGAGCTGGCTCTGCACAGAGGGGACACGGGCACTGCAGAGGCAATGCATGGCCAGGCGCATCCTCACAGGCTGCTGAGCTCTCGGGAGATGCTCCCTGCTCCAGTGCCCTCGAGTCCTGACTGCAGCATCTCCCTCCTCCAAGGGCAGGGGAGGAAAACCTTTCCCCCCTGGGCCCAGAACCCACCGACGGTTCTTTCACTTTCCCCACCCGCTGCCATCGGGCGCTGCACGGAAATTTACAATGATGGGCTCAGGGATATTGACAAGCTGGAGGGAAGCATGGGGGATCCCAGGCGGGATAGGGGTGAGCTCTGGGCAAGGGAATCAGCCACAAGTGGGCAAACCTAAGGGAAGGGAGCGTGCAGGGGCTGCCCCGGGAAAAGGGGAGGGAGCCAGGCCTGCAAGAGGAACAGGAGAGGCAGGAGCACCATCAGGGGATGGGGCAAGTCACAGCTCCGGTTTGCGGTCCTGTCCCCAGGGGACGGTCCAGGAGGAGTTCCAGGGTATCCCCAGGCATAGCACCTCCATGCAAGAGGCAGAGGAAGCGCCCCTAGAGGGAGACGGGAGGCGTCCCTTCCCCAGGGGACAGCGCTGGGCGCCAGTCCCGGGCCGGGGACCGGCGGTCAGATCCGGGGGAGGTCAGCCCGGGGGCAGAGGCCGGGGAACGGCCCCCGGCAGGGGAAGAAACGGTTTCCCTCGCAGCCCCGGGAGCCCCGCGGCTCGCTCCGGGCCCACCCGCCGCGGGGCAGCGGCACGCCCCGCAGGGCACAAGGTACTCACCGGGCCCGGGCCGCCCCGCTGCCCGCGGCCTCGCCGCCTGGTCTCCCGCACCGGGTCCCGCACCCGCGCTCAAGTTGGCGGCGGAGGCCTCATTGCCCTCACCCAAGATGGCAGCAGCGGCTTCGCTACGTTTCACGTGGCCATCGGGGTGCTGAAGCGGACAGCGCCATGTCCGTGGCTGGCGAGCAGCGGGCCCGGACGCACCGTTCTGAGGTGCTGGCGGTCTCGCCGTTTTCTCAGCCTGGACACCGCTTCCTCAGGAGAAGGATGCACTGCGTCGCTTAAACATCCACAACAACGTGCCGCCACGGGGCTGCCGCAATACCCCTGTGCCCATAACCAACATGTCCGCCGCCGCCTCCCTCGGAGGGTGCGGCGCTCTCGCGGGAGACCGCCCCGCCGTTGCTAGGCGCGGAGGGGGCGCGCGGGCGGCTTCTCGCGAGAGCAGCGTGAGGCGGCGACGGCGGCCATGGCGGACGGGGCCGGTAGCAACGGGGACGCTGCGGGGCCGCTGGTGGGCAAAGAGGCGGGTGAGGCGGCCGCACCGGGAGCGGGCGGGTGGTCGGGCCCCACGAGGTGCCCTCTAGCCCGGTTGGATCCTGCGAGGTGCGAGCATCCCGAACAGGGGCGGCCCGCACCTGGCGGGGTCCCACCGGGCCGCTGACGCCCCCGTTTTGTGTCCCACCCCTCTCACCCCACAGTGGAGCGGCTGATCCGGGAGAACGGACACATTTTCACCGAGGCGCAGTGCAAGGTGTGCAGCGCGCTGCTCATCTCCGAGTCACAGCGCCTGGCTCACTACCAGGTAGGGAAGGGGGAACCCCGAGCCTCCGCCCCAGCCCAGCCCCGGGCTCGGCGAAGCACCGAGCGGGGTTTTTCTGATTTCCCCAGAGCAAGAAACACGCCAACAAGGTGAGAAGGTACCTGTCCATCCACGGCGGGGAGGAGGGTGCCCAGGGGAAGAAGATGAAGCTGGAGGTGAAGCAGGTGAGAGGAGACATGATCAATGTCTATAAGTAATGTCTACAATGTCTTAAAATCTAGGGGGTAAGTCCTGTGAAGAGCGGCTGAGGGAGCTGGGGTTGTTTCGTCTGGAGAAAGAAGGATCAGGGCAGACCATATTCCTTCTTACAACTCTCTGTTAGGAGACTATCCAGCTGGGATAGAGTCTCAGTTAGGAGACTCTATCCAGCCTCTTCTCCTGGGAAACCAGCAACAGGACAAGAGGAAATGGCCTCAAGTTGCGCCAGGGGAGGTGTTTAAGAAATGTCTGGACATGGCACTCAAGTGCTCTGGTCTCGTTGACAAGGTCACTATCAGTCAGAGGTTGGGCTTGATGACCTTGGAGGTCTTTTCCAGCCTTAATGATTGTCTCATTCTGTGAATTGTCTGAAGGGAGGGTGTCAGAGGATAAACCAGACTCTGCTCAGGGGTGCCCAGCAACAGGGTGAGAGGCAACAGGCAGAAACTGATGCCCAGGAAGTTTCACCTGAACATAAAGAACTTCTTAGCTGTGCAGTGCCGAGCACTGGAATGCTGCCCAGACAAGGTGTGGAGTCTCCCTTACTGGGGATATTCCAGAAATGTGGCGTCTCCCTTACTGGGGATATTCCAGAACCGTTTGGATAGATTCCTGTGCCAAGTACTCTGAGATGATCTTGCTTGAGCAGGGAGGTTGGACCAGGTGAGCCACTGTGGTCCCTTCCAGCCTGATCCATCCTTGTGTTCTGTGAGTGCAGGATCCACCAGGGCTAAATACAGCTCTGTGGCACCTGCAGAGCTAAAGGCAGTTGCACAGTCTTGTAAGTGAACAAGGAAAATGCTCTCAGAAGGGGCTTTGTGAGAACTGAGAATCTCTGTGGCAGGTGTTTCCCCAAGTCTTGTCCCAGTTCCTGCTGCCCTCCCTGCTCAGACAGCTTCTTTGAGCCTGTCCTCCCCATTTGTGCTCCTCTTTTTGATTGTCTTGCTTGAAATGACAGAGAAAGAACAGGAGCAACAGCTTGTCAGGAGCATCATTGCATAACATCACGCAGAATACGTTGGGTTCACCATCCACAGGAATTATCTTCCCAGAGCATTCTTTATTTTACTTATTTAGGTTCCCTCAGCTGGTAGCTGGAGCCTGTTGGGTCAGAAAGGCCCCACATTCCATTCAGCCATCTGTCTGCCCCGTGCCTCCCTTGGGGAACAGATTCTACTTTTATGATTGCTTCAGCTGTAATCCCTAACTCTGGCATTTGCAGGGAGCTGGGGGATAACAGCAGATGCCTTTGCACATAGTGTCAGGCTGAGAACTGCCTGCTGCTCCCTCCTCAGCTGGTGTTGTGTTGCAGATGACCCAGCTGATAGCAATGTTTCTGCTGCTCAGTTCACACCTTGCAGGGGACAAGGCTGCGTGGTCCAATTTTGGCAGCTATGTGCTTCACTTTGTCCTTAACCCAAACAGGCCAGGGCTGCCCCTCTGCCTGGAGTGTTTGCCAACAGGTTAGAAACAGTAATCTGGTGCAAGAACACTCTCTAGGGAGGGAGAAGGTGATGCTGCATCATGGAGGTTCTACCTAGTCACACTTCATCAACTTAACACCCAAACATCTTTGATGATCTTTTTTTTAGACCCCCAAACCATAGTGTTTCTCCTCAAAACCAGGAGGCTGGGTGGGATGATCTGCAGAGGTCCTTCCCAGCCTCAGCAGCTCAGTGGTTCTCTGTGCACAGGACAGCAAGCAGGAAGGCAGCAATGGGGAGGACAGGAACAAGTGTTGTCCCATCTGCAACATGACCTTCTCCTCTCCGGCCGTGGCAACATCTCACTACTTGGGCAAGACTCATGCCAAGAACATGAAGCAGCAGGCCCCCAAAGCAGAAGGTATGAGTGTCTGCAGCACTTTCACGTTGTCCCAAAGGGCTGTTGAGATGCTTGTTGAACCCCAAGTGTGAGCTCTTGTAAGAGTGTGTGCTCTTTGCCATGATATAGAGTAATCCAGCAGTGCACCTCCAGAGACCTGGCTGTTCCAGCCTGCTCAGTGGGCTGGCATTGGCAAGAGGTTGTGTGGGGTTTTTTTTTCTTTTTTTGGGGGAAGTGGAGCTGGCAGCAGCCCCTGTACCCATGCCTGTATGCAGGGACCAGACATGTAATGTTAAGATGTAGAAATGCCTGTCACAGGCTATAATGCCCATTAAATATTACAGAGACCGAAGTGATGGTTGAAACTCTGATATGGCAAATTCTCCAGGGTTGCTCAGCTACAACAATGTGGCCTCTGAGGTTCAGAGACTCGGGAGCTGCAGATTGCTGGGGAGTGGGAGAATACAGCTGGGGACACATCAGTATGTGCTTGTCCTGACCTTGTCTGCCCCCGCACTACTGCCTGTGTGTCCCATCCCTTTGCTAGCAGCCAGAAAGGCCTGGTGGGTGGGGAGTGACACTCTCTGTCCAGGGCAGTTAGGGATAGCCATGGGCCAGGGGAGCTGCAGTTGGTCAGGACAGAAGGAAAACACAGCCATTGAGTGCACCCGCGGATGGTAGCTTTTACTAATTCCAAGCTGGGGAACTGTGAGTCACACAGACACCTGACTCCTGGGATCTTCCAGGCAGAAACTGTCTGTCCCAGCATGTCTTCATGACTTTGCTAAAATGTGTGCACAGCAAAGCCACCTCCGGGATCTTCTTGTTCTTTGGAGCCCTTGCTTTTAGGTATGGTAGGAGCCTACAGGACGATGTTCACTGAGCAGTCTGGTGTGTTCCTGTGGTGAGAGGAGCTCTCTGATCCCTAGCAGGTTACTCACTCTGCTGTTTGGCACCCTGGAGTGAGAGGGTGCAGGTTTCTCCACCACATAGAAGAGCTGCTTCCCTGTGTGGATTCACTGTGTCAGACCTAGTTCCATTTATGCTGTGTCTCAGGCAAGACTCCTTATGAATTCAGGATCAAGTGCTGTGGCTGCATGGTGCTTCCAGAATGCCTTTGCTGTGCAAGGGCTTGTGCCTGTGTTCTGTCTGGGAGATGATAACAGCAGGTGGAAGCTCATTCATACCCAGTGTTTCTTGAATATAGCCACGCTTATGTTAAGGAGAAATATGCAAATCTGTTGGATTTTTTAAACCTTGAAAATTTTCCTGGCATACTCTGAGTTATGTTATCACATGTCTTCTAATTCTGCAGTGTTAAGGGCAGAGGTAGCAAAATCATTAATTTATTAAGATATCTTATATTGGCTAGGTTTAGGATTTAGATGTAGTGTGTTACTAGTTTTAATGTAGGTTTGGGGGAAATAAAGTGACTGGTTTTTACCTGTGAGTTCTGTGACTGACCAGGAGTTTGGATTCACCCTACAGAAACAGTGCCCCCACAGAAACACCCTGCTCCCGTCCCCACCTCTACTTCATCTTCTAATGAAGAGAACAAGGACATTACTGACCCGGACAAGTTCTGTAGCCTCTGCCATGCCACTTTCAACAACCCCCTTATGGCAAAACAGCACTATGTAGGCAAGAAGCACAGAAAGCAGGAGACCAAACACAAGCTGATGGCGCACTACGGCCGAACCCCTGATGCACCAGCATCATCCTTCATGGGTGAGTTCTCAACAGGGAGGCTGATAACCAGCTGAAGAGCAGGGTGGGAGAGAAGCAGAATCTGTCTGGCAGGCCTTTAGACAAGAGAGTGTGTGTGGAGGGAGCAGGAGAGTGTTGCTTGTGATGAGGAACTTGATTATACACGCTAAGAGTGATTTGGTTGATGTTGTAACCCCCAGCAGCAGATGTTTTAGACTGTAGCTACTCGTGACAAGCTTTGGGTTGTGTTATGCAGTGTTTAATCGGGGACGTGTCCTTTTTATTCTCTGTGCGGATAATCCACGGATTTTGGCCAGTACTGTTTCTAGTTAGGTGATTGCATCCAAAATGAAAATATAAAAGTAGCATTTGATGCTTAAAAGTCGTCTTTGAGGGGACTAGCCAGAGATGGAAGGAATAGGTTTAACTGCACCTGCTGCTTCAAAGCACATGAAAGCCAGACAGATTTCTCCCTGAATGCCTTTCTGCCTCTGTGTGGGCACTTCCATCTGATGAACTAATGCAGCTCTCTCTGGAGCAAGCAGGAATGTGGAAAAAAAAAACCCAGAGCTATTAAGGAGGAACTTTAGGCAGACAGTTAAAACTCTTTTGGTTTATGATCTGCTGCTTATGAGCACTTGTATGCGATGAAAGCCCTCTGAGTCCAGTGAAAGCATTAGGTGCTCACAGAAAACTCCTTTGTTCCTCCCAGCAGCCTTCCGTTGGGCCAGGAAGTCTTAGTACCTGCTGGATACTTGAGGTAAATAAAAAGCAGACAGATCATCTTAAAATCTTCATCAAGGGCTTCTTTCTCTGTCGTAAAAACCCACACAAGCAGAAGATTAATTATTCTAATTCTTTGCAGGCCACCTTTAGATACCGGTAGCACTTATGACAAATGAGGCTCAATTAGCCAAGTAATGTTCTCTCCCACGTTGCATGGCCGTGTGGGAGATGGAAAAGGTGCTCGGTATCTCACGTTACCCATCTGCTCTGCACCTAATTAGTGGGGTCTGATGAATGGTTCCACTTGAATGTGACTCAGGCGCTGACAGAGCACGAGCCCCAGCCCAGGCAGGCTGGGTAGGTGGGCAGTGCCGGTGTCCTGGGTAGGTGGGCAGTGCCCTTGCCTGTGTGATTGATGTGTCCCAAGAAGTGCCAGCAGAACAGAAATGTGTACAGTCACATCTCCAGGGCACTTCAGCTCTTCAGGAAAGATTTCAGAGCCTGGGCTATGATCAGGGGCTTCTCAGATGAGAAGGGCTGCAGTCAGGGATGTTTTGTCCCACTCTTTTTGCCTGTGTCTGTGTGCCAACAGCCAGAATTGTCCATAAACTCTCTGCTGGGACCTGACTTACAGCAGATGAATATGTGTTCTTTGCAAATGCAACACTGAGTTGGTTGCCCACTTAAAGTTCCATGGAAGCAAGTGGTTTGGGGTTGTGGAGCGTAGTTTAGATAACTTTGTGCATGCACCTGTTGGATGGGTTTGTAACAGAGAAGTCTTGACATTGATGGTGCAGGGAAGCAGACCTGAAAGCTGTATCAGCTCCTCTGGCCTTTACTGTCCGGATCCAGCTCCATTTTGAGAGCTGAATGTCCCACTGGATTCTGAAATATCTGAGGTGCAGCAGCCATGTGGCAAAGTGTCTGCAACATCCAGAGTTGAGGTTCCCAATGATTTACTGCTCTGCACACCTGGGGTCCATCTCCTCTTTCACCTTAAGGAAATGTTTTCCTTGTGAGAGTCCCAACCAGAGCCCTTCCCCAGTGACCCCAAAATTCAGGAATGCTTAATGTCTTGAGGACAACTGCCAGAATTTTTCCCTGTTAGAGACTCCTGTGCTGCCATACTTGCCTGTTGGGTATCTGTGACCTCATGAACTTTCAGTCCAGCTGGAGTTGTCATGTTACACAAAACCAATGATCCTGTTGAGTACCACTATTGTTGGAAACTTTTTTTTTCCTGGCAGTTAACTGATCCACTGACTGTAACCAAACTGCTTGAGGATGGAGCTTAATATCCTCAGTTGGCACCTCAGCAAGGCTTAGCAAAATGCTGCATTGTGGAGCTGGACAGTGGGTGTAATCTCCTCGGGCTGCCTTTTTTATTGAAATGTTATAAGCTTACAAATTCAGTATCTTTTATTTTCTGGTTTGAGATGCCCAGATGAGCAGAAGTGGGACTATGGAAGAAAAATGGAGTTGCAAAGGCAATATAGCCTTTGGGGGTTGGGGTCCAAATCTGAAATTTTTACTATGCCTGATGCTATAAACTGTTTGTAGGCAACATGTGTGTGGTTTTTTAGTGATGAACAAACCGTGTTCTGATCAGGAAAGCTTTATGGCTTAGTGATTCCCTTGCAATAACTGGCTGATACATGGTGGGTAGTGGGATTCTGTGATGTGCCTGCCTGATCAGATTGTTGGCTGTTACTTGACTTTGTTTAGGGTTGTTTACTAAAACAGGTGATTGAATATTTTGCTTGTTTCTAGCTGAGGCACAGAAATTGGCTAGCTGTGTGTGCTAACATTGCTGTCTGTTTCAGCTGGGAAGGGCTACCCTTGCAGCACATGTAACATAGTGCTGAACTCCATAGAGCAGTACCAAGCTCACATCAGTGGCTTCAAACACAAGAATCAGTAAGTAATGTTCTTGTCTAAGAGTGTTTCCAGCCTTGCTGTTAAAATCGATGGCCTAAATATAACCTAAAATGCAGTTCTGAGCACGTGTTTCCAGCTGACTGCCAAACAGAACAGCAGGGTCTGTGCAGGCTCTCTGTGTGTCCCGAGGCTGCTCCAGGAGCTCCCTCTGCAGACCGCCCAGTCCTGCTGCCGAGGTGGAAGTGCCTCCGGTGACTTCAGGTTCCTAATAGTTCAGCTCAGCACAGACCTTTGCAGTGAACCTGACACCTATTAAACACAGTTTCTCTTAACAACTGAGATTTTAATTTAATTAAGGACTGGCTCAGTGGAGATATGCTTGCAATTCTAATCTCCATTGGGATTGCTTGTTTTAAAATTTGGCATATAGTCAGCACGCTCCAGAAGCCTGGACTGTATTCCTGAACTCGCTCTTACAGCTGGCAAGTTAAATAATGGCATCCCCTGCATATATTATTAATTGAAGAAAATTATGCTGCTAGATGATTAATACCAAAAATACTTGTTCTGGAGACTGCCAATCTTTAATTTAAGAGCCTTCACTAAAAGAGGCACAGTAATGAGCCTGGGTTGGTTAGAAAGCTTCTTAGAAGGAAGAGGCATTAGGAAATCCTACCTGAAGGGAGGGCAGGCTCCTAGCCAAATTCCCCAGAAGGGACAGGAAGAAAACTGGCATCTCTTGTTCCCTCTCTATGGAATAACATCCTCCTGGTCCCTCAGCTCTGGGGAGTACTTGGTGGGAAAACATCTTTCATCCCAGGGAAGTTCCAGCTCTCGAACAGCACAACTAGATTAGTGAATAGGAGGTATCCCATTCTAGAGAGATAACATTGAGGATGTTTCCAACACACACACACATTAATGTTCTCTTTAAGGACACTGCTGTTGTTGGAGCTGTTGCAGCCACACAACTCCCTTTCAGAATGCTGCTCTGGATTCAGCTGTGCAGTCCTGTTCCATCTTCTGCAGCCTGCAGAGAGGCAGGATGCTTGCTTTGTAATGGGAGCTCTTTAGCAGTCCTTGAGCTCTGCCGCAGCTAATTCTGCCATGCTAAAGGTGTCTGTTTACACACAGGCACAGAGAGCAGGGATTCACTTGGAAGATTTTCTGGCAAATCTTCCCTTGGCTGCAGTGGGTTGTTGCTCTGCTGACAGCCTTGCCTGCTGAGCAGTGATTGCAGTTGGCACATTTCAGAGCATTTGTGACATTGTCTCCATTTTTTCCTTTTTCTTGCTCCCTTCAACGTGCAGGATGCCAGGAGCAGTGCCGGCTGTCGGACCGTTCCCGCCACAACAGTATGTCCGGGAAGAGTCAACTGGCCCAGGAGGCTACAGTTACTTCAGCCAAGACCTCTAGAGCAAGTTGCAGCACTATTCTTGGAGTTGTTGGTGGCCCCAGAACGCACATCCTTTGCCAGCCCACAATGGTTTCATTATCCCTCTGGATAAGCAAAGCCCTACCCTCCTGTATACACCCGTTGAGCAGAACGGGGACTGAATCTGTCAGGAAAAGGATCCAGCTGGAAGAGACTTGCTAGACAGCAAATACTTCACTCCCTTAGAGTAGTTTTCATTGTGTAATTGCTTCCTGTGAAGGTGGGTGTGGTGTGAGAGGAAGTGTCTATCTGGTGTAAGGAGGGTTTGGCAGCAAGCTGGTAGTGGCACCTTCTCCCTGTCCCCTCTGGTGGGCTGCCCATTCTGCTGCTGGACTGTTCTCAGAGGGACACCAGCACCCATGGGCACACCCAGGATGACAGGAGGGGACCTGGAGCCTGGCTGTGGGACCAGAGCCACCCACGTGGCCGGGAAGCTGAGGATGGAGCATGACCCCTGTCCCTAGGTGTGCCCTGGTTGTTCATGAGCTGTCGGCCCAGCTCTGCGCCTCCCTGCCCCAGGCCACAGCTCTGGCTGTGTCACCAGTCTGAACTCCATTGCCTTCTGGGCTGGCAGGCGCAGGACAGAGCACAGAGCCACCCAGCAGCCACATCCTTCACAGAAGCACCACGGTCCCCTGCCCAGGCCACAGCCACCTCTGTGGAGCCTGTTGCTCCTCCGGCAGCACACCCAGGGTCCCTGCCTCAGCCGGGAGAAGCTCAGTCCTGGCCACAGTCCCAGCCACTGCCATCCCTCGTGGCCCCGCAGGCTCCTTTGAGTAAATCAAGTGCAGATGTGGAGTTGGGACCGGGTGCCTGCTTACAATTAGGGGCTGGGAAAATTGGGTGGCCCCATTCTTGCTTTGCAGTTCCTTGCCATGGCTGCTGCTTTACCGGGCTGAACCCCCAAATGTTGTGCAGGGGACAGGGCTGGTGAGTAAAGCTCCTGCTTTCTTGGCCACAGATCAGCACTGTGGTGCCCAACCCAGCACATGGTGTGTGCCACGTTCCCATGGGGAGCAGGAGATGTTCTGGCCCCATGCACCTCGTTCCCTGTGCCAGCTGCAGCTGCAGCACTCCCCCACAGAACCAGGGGAGGAAGAGGTGGCAGGGCTGCAGCAGGACAAGGCACAGCACTGCCCACCCTCCTCAACTTGTGTGTTCCCCACTCAGCCTTCACCGCCCAAGTCCGTGGATGCTCCCGTGCCATGCTGGGGGCTAGAAGAAGCCTGGGTCCCTGGTATCCCTGTCGTGCAGCCCCTGCACTGGGCCCCACATTCTTGGCTCCCCAGAGGGAGCAGCAGGCTTATGTTTGCCAAGTTCTGCCTGGTTAAACCTTAACTGAGCTGGGTGGCTCCATCAGTCCCTCCCAGCCAGAGATAAGGATGGACAGGCAAGACCAGGGCCTGATGGGGCACACTGCCCCAACCTGGCTGCTTGCCTCCAGGGCAGGACCCAGCCCCTGAAGAGCATCCTGCCCAGTCTGGGGAGCTGCCTGCCTATCCAGCTTGCCCCCTCCCTTCCTCAGTGGGTCCCCACTGATACGAGGGCAGCAGTTGTGGCTGGGGCTGGAAGCTACCATGTTGAAGCCAGTGGACTGGATGGAGCTGGAAGCCCTTGCTCCAGGGCTGACCCACTCCCTCAGTGCCAGAAGGTTCGCATCACCCCAGCACATGGAATGAGCATGCTCAGCCTCAGATCCTATGCACGTACAGTGAGCTGGGGCTTCTGTGCCCCAAACAAGAGCCGTTCAGGAGAGGCCAAGAGAAACTTCCAGGAGGAAAGAGCCCCCCAGGCTCCGGCCCCCACAGGAGCCACCGTGCTGCGCGGGCTCTGGCTGGCCGCAGGTGCCACCACAGCGGGAGTGGCGGCAAGTGCTGGGGCCAGGCACAAGGGGCGGCTGTGTTCCCGCAGCTCCGGCTGCCTTCCAAGAGCAATATTGTTGGCACCAGGCAGGCTCCCTGCACCGGCAGCACATACATGGGCCTTTCATGAGGAGAGTGGGGATGATTTACTGCCTGGGGGAAGGGGCAGGGGCGGGAGGATGGAGCCCCAGCATGCCGGCGCCCGGCCCCTTGTGCGTGCTCGCTGCCGCGGGGCCCCGCACATATTAGCAAGGCCAAGGGTCTGGCCAGGGGGTCGTCTCTCCCAACGGGACGTGGGGCAAGAGGGATCCCTCTGTGCCATCTGTGAAGTTCTGAGGACACACTTCATGTCTGGGCGCCCCGCTGTGAGCTGTCACACGTCGCTTGTGCCACAGCGATGGGGGCAGCCCGTGGGCTGGGGGAGATGGACATCAGAGGAGGGTGCTGGGGCAGGGGTGCACCCGCAGCGCAGAGTGCTGTGCTGGCACAATCCCCCCTTGTTGAGCTGCTGGCGTGGCAGAGGCCGTTGTGGTGCTGCCGGCAGCGGGTGGCAGGCGGTGGGGCTGGGCTGCTGTGAAGGGCTTTTTGTTTGCCGTCAGTTGCTGTTATAAATCAAGCCAGGCAGCCCGGCCCCAGCCCAGCACTGCCCCATGGCAGGGAGGTGATCAGTTCCCAGCTGCCTACAGCAGAGCCCCACCAAGCCCTGGCCTGTGCCTGGCATTGTCCTGGCCCAGTGGGGATGTTCAGTGTGACACTGGGCAACGTGCCCACGCTGGTCTGCTTGCCCTTCTTCCACTCAGCATTGGGGAACCCTGGGATACAGGGAATCTTTCCATGTTCATCCCAGGCTGTGTCTCCCACAGGCTCCCCAGAGTCCCAGCTCTCCCTGGTGTTCCCAATACTGGGAACATCCCCTTCTCTCTGGTTTTAATTTGGTTTTGGTTCGAATTGAGCTGAACCCAACATTTTTCTGTGCTTCCGGCACGCTGTGAACTCTGCAGGGGCGGCCGCTGCTCCGTGAAATTGATGTTCTCGTCCGCTTCACGCGTCAGCAGGAATGAACAGCTGCTGGGGGCTGCTGGCCCCCAGGATTGCTCTGTGCACCTCTGCACCCCAAGGGGACACACACCAGTACTCCAGATGGGGAGCGGCACAGGGTGGATGGTGCTATGGGAGATTGTAGCACCAACCAGACCTCACAGTGAAACCATGTCATGCTGGATGGTTTGGTGCAGTGGAGCAGCATGGACAAGGCTGTGCCCAGGACTCAGGTTTGGCCCTACAAAATGAGGGGTGACAGTGACAGTGTACCCCACTCACAGGGCCTCAAGGTCCACGCCAGGCATGGGCAAGGCTGTGTGGGGAGCTCAGCATAACCCTGGAAGATCTTGCTGGAAAGCAGATGGTGAAACAGATGCAATACAGGAAAGGAGAGCAACTCTAGGGCCAGACCCTGGCCATGTACTGGGGGACACTGACCCCTCTTGATGGCAGCAGGATGCTCAGGGGACATTGTTCCTTGGGATCACAACAACTCAAAGTGTCTGAGGCCAGGCATCCCCCCAGTGCCCAGCGGTTTTGTATGGGCCAACCAGCAACAGGGCTTGGGCATGGTGGGGTCTGCCTGCCCCAGCACAGGCAACAGCATAGGGAAGGTGAGGGCGAAGTGTTTATGGGTTGGATTAGGCCACTCCAACCTGGCTCGCACCTTAGCCACGTTTTATGATGCTCCGTTATGGGCTCCTAATGAGGGTCACAGCCACTTTATGGCACTGACAGCGATAACGCTACAACTAATTATGGCACAATTAGTCAATTAGCTTGCGGGCTGCTGGGCACCCAGCAACGCTCAGCGCCCAGCCTGGGCCACGACAGCTGCTTGGGGCTGAAGTGCTCCCACCCCCAGCAATCGGGGGGACACAGGGGTGGCCTTGCCCCCTGTCCCAACTGCTGCTCCCCACGCGTGGGGTCTGCCTGGAGGACAGCAGAGGGGAGCAGCCCCGGGTGTTTTGCAGCCCCCTGCGCTCCCCACCCGCGAGGGGAGGCTGTGCTGGCAGAGCCGGGACAGAGTGGGCCGGGGGCCGCCTCTCGCTGCTGCGGGGGAAAGGCCGGTGCTACCCCCCAACTTCCCCCGTCCAGCTCGGCGGCAGGTCGGTCGGTTTGCAGAGATGCCGGAGAAGCGGGGCCGGTCCCCGTCCCCCCCGCTCCCGCCTCCGCAGCGCTCCGGGCGGGGCCGCTGTAACCCGAGCGCGTCCCTACAAAGTGCCCGCGCCCCCGAGGCGGCGGCAGAGCGGGGCCGGACCAGCCCGGAGCGAGCCCCAGCCCTGCCCGCAGCCGGAGCCGTCCCGAGCCCGGAGCCAGAGCCGTCCCGGCCCCGCCGCCATGGGGCCGCGGTCTGGGGCTGGGCGGCGCTGAGCCCGCTGTCCCCGCTGGCCCCGGACTTTGCCCCGGCCCGCGCAGCGCAGGCGGCCCCGCCGCGGAGCCCGTCACCGCCGGTAACCGCGCCGACCGCGACCCTCGGCCCCGGCACCGTTCGGGCCCCCCCTCCCGGGACATTCCCCCCTCCCGGGACATTCCCCCCTCCCGGGACATCCCCCCCTCCCTGGGATCCTCCGTGGTCCCCCACCCCCGGTTAACCTCCCCTAGCGCCCTGACCAGGCTGACGCTGGCTGCAGAGGTCGGATTCCCGGCACTCAAACGGGTTTTTCCCACTCTCCGTGCCCCCTCCCATCCCTGCCCAGGGACCCCCGTGCTCTGCCTCCCGTCCATGCCCACCCACCCTCGCGGTGACCTGGGGACCTCGCACTGCTTCTCCCCGGTGCCTCGGGAGAGGAGGGGTCTGCCCGCCCGGATCCGCTCACCCGACCCTGCCTGTCCCGCAGGGTGGGACCCCCGCGCTGGGGGGGCCTGGAAGATGCGGCCCCTCTTGCAGGTCGTGGCGGGGCTGCTGCTGGCGGTATCTGCACGGGGCAGGGCGATGGAGCCAGGTACGACTGCGGGGGGCGAAGCGGAGCCGGGGGCGGTGGGAGTGGGTTCCTGCTTTCTGAATACTTTCTCCATTCCGGCTGGGCGGCGACCCCTGGGCTGGGATGCGAGTGCTTGCCCTGGGCATGCAGCCCAACCGCTCTGCCTGCAGGGCAGGGCTGGTGGGAGCTGGGGACAGGGCGCAGGGACCAGTGTTTCCATCACTGACAGGGGCAGGGTGGCTCCGGCCAGGCTGTCCCTGTGCTGCGGGGGCTTGGCTCGCTCGCTGGACACGCGTGGCAGAGAGGGGTTGTGAGACCGCTGCGGGCTGTGGCTGCTGTGTGTGACACC